AAAAGGCCGGCAGAAACAGGATCGGAAGACAACGCAGCTGTTTTTCACAGGATCTTGCGTGAAAATGCGGCCGCACGGATTGCCACATGCTGCAACTGACGGGAAGAAACTTACAAGGCTTGCAGTCAAGTCTGCCGACTCTGTCCCGATTGGCTCATGCTGCGGTTGTCATTGGACATGTGGGTGAACATGGTTCTTATACAATTACAGCTCTTCACAACAGCAATCGTTGTTGCTTTTGTCGCGGTTGCTTGTCGTCGTTATCGTTATTATGCATTCAAACGACCAGCTACTGAAATGATTGCAGAATACTACTATGCTACAACATGGAAGAAAATGCAGTTGCTCGAGTCCGTCATGCCTCAACATCAATACTCTCTGCATTACATGGTTGAGTGGCTGGTGCATTGTCAGCAATTCCTTAGCCATACCTGTACGGACATGTAAGGACTAGTCAGATTTCTGAAACCTCACGAACCACCGACTGCAACAGGGTTTCATGTAGCGGTCTCAGACCTGAGCTACATATTCGCCTCCATCGGCCCCTGAATCGCACAGAATCGCAAAAGAACTCCGAAATGCCTAGATACCCCAACTCCGAGGCTTCAATCTACTCAGTCTTGATCAACCGATGGCCAGGGCAGGGCAGGGCCGGGCGGGGCGAGCCCAGCTAAATCCCAAAGTCGACTCCATGAAGAACCCTCGAGTCTGGACGAAAATGTCGCCCAGAAGAGTCGTACCGTGCCCCTTCCCAGAGCACCCTCTCAGCGAGGGTGTCCAGGAGCTCTTTCGGCTCTGCGCTCACGTCGATGAGTTCGGTGATCTGCTGCACCCTTCGGGATAGATGCAAATTTGAAGCTGGTCTTCTGGATTCTAGCTTCAGGACCAAATCGGATCTTGTGATGTCTCTTTTGCACCTGGGGTTGCTCTTCGACCTTCTTTGAAGATGGTTCAGAACAAGAAATTACAGGACCGGCCCTGAGCGCGGTGTTCGAGTTGTTTGATGAACTTGGCTTGTTCATGAGCTCCGAGAATGCCCCTAAAATGCAGCCGCCCTCAACCTAGCTGCCATAAGCAGATCCAACTAGTACTAGAGAAGGAGACAGACACCCGAAACAGCAAAGCACTCTCTCCGAGGGCCGAACGCTTTGTCCAGGTCGTTGACCAGCTGCCTCAAAGTTTCATTTGTTTCCTCTTTTTGCCGGGTCACGGATATGGCTTTCAGCTTGGGCAGGAACAGGTGGGAGATCAATGTGGGCGCGGGGTTCGAAGGCTGCTTCTTCGAGTCCAGGTAGCTTTCGCTGCTGTGGCCGATGGACTGAAAGTCTCGTAGCAAGGTCTTCTTTTTGAACAGCTCACAGTGAAGCCATGCACTTATACAAGCCAAGGTTGCAGGTTGCCCTCCGTACTCGTCAGCTGCTGCCGAAGAGTGATGCATTCCTCTCGCCTTGGCTTGAGCTTGCTGGTTGGCTTTCCGAGGAGGGGAGTCTGGAAGGTAGAGGAGAGAGCGCGATGGGAGAACAGTGATGTTTGTTGCGAAAGCCCTCGGGCTTGCCAGCTGCCCGTATAAATTGTGGGAATCCATAGCTTGGCTTGTATGCAGCGGCGCTTAGGTGCAGTGCTTGTGGATTGCCTGGAACACTTGTTTCCTTGCACATTTACAAGCAACTACAGCGGCAAACCAAATCAGTGATCAGGACGGCAACGACAACGGCTATCTCCTCCACGACGACAACAAAAACACTTCAACATGAACAACAACGGCCGCAGTAGCAACAAAAAACAGAGGCAACTGGGACCACCGACGACAACCATGACATTGACGGTGATGATGGCGATGGGAGATGAAACTCCGAATTTATGACAAGCGCGACGTGCCTCGGTAGCGAAAGCCTCTGTGAGCACCGGTCCCTGGAGCATCCGAGCTGCAGCTGTTGGAAACTTTTGCTCTGCACCGGGGGCAGCCGGCGGAAGAGGGACTCGAAGAAGGCACCTGTACCGGGCACAGCCTGTACCCGCAGCTGTAGCTCGTGTGAATTTCGATGTGTTGAAGACTCTTCGGGCGGGTGTAGGGGTTTAGCTTGCTACACTCCCGAAGCGCCCCCAAGCCCAAGGTCGAGTGGCGCGCCTTGCTCAGAGACGATGGCGTCCTCGTCGATGTTTACCTAGCAGCTTTCTCTGTTTCTGCTACATCGTCTCAAGGACCATGTGCGAGTTTCCGATAGGGGGTACCTTATTTGGGGTCCTTATACTAAGGATCCTACTATTTAGGGTACTATTTTAGGGTCCCCTATTTTCGGCAACTCCCATGTGCTGCTGTCTATCTTACGAATCCAATCAGTTCCTCCATGGCTGGATGCCCGCGTCTCAGAAGTACGCGAAACCTCAAGTCGCCGAAGTCCAATAGAGGGGACCCTAATATAGCACCCCAAATAGCAGGATCCTTATTATAGTATATACCCCCAGAAAGTACCCTAAATAGTAGGATCCTTATTCTACGTACCCCAAAAAATACCCTAAATAGTGGGATCCTTATTATAAGTACCCTAAAGAGTACCCCAAATACTAGGATCCTTATTACAAGTACCCTAAAGTAAAGTACCTTTTCGGATCCAGGCTGCCAGCTCCTGAGACGTCTGCGAACTGCACACGGACGTCGGAAGCGGGCACTGCGACTGATGGCACAAGGCAATGTCCTGCGGCGTGCAGCGCTGGGAAAGATGATTCCAGAGGAAAACGCCAAAAAGTGAGTTGGGTCCCGGAGATTCATGCGGTGTTTTTCACATAATTCTCGGGGTTCCACGACATTGCACTGATAAGAACACGTCTCGCCACAGGATGCAACAGAACTAAAACTCAAGTCAACATACAGTCGAAGCCGATCCGCAAGCGACAACTAAGATTTTGGATCTCGACTCCTAAAGCACCGCCAACCTGTCACTGGGCTTTTAGTAGGCCCCACATCCTGCCCTCTGTAATTCTTCCATCGCCCAACCTTCTCGTCGATCATGAATCGGCAGTTGAGGCGGAAGTTGAGGGGCACATCGTAGCGCTCCGTGATCCTGAACTCGGTACGTTTGTTGATCCAATGGCAGCCAAAATGATTGCAGCGGCTTCTGTCGGAAAGGTTCGCGATCCCGTGATCCACGAACGCCAGGCGAAAACGGTAACACCAAGCTACACGGGACACAGCCGGACACTTCCGCCAAGCGTCATGATCACCTCCTTCTCCCAGTCGGGAGTCTTCTGGGAGCATGCGTCCAGCTCATCGTGCTCCTGGGACCATAAACCCGAAATTCCCCAAACCCCAAAGCGGCTTTCAGACCCGGAAGGCCGAAGGCTTCACGGGCTCCTTGATCCGCAACTTGCTGCTGTACTCCTTCAGGAGGTTCGAGAGCTTCATGATCTCAGCCTGATCGCAACAACACTTCCGAAGCAACCTCCAGGTCTCGATGCGAAGCTCCCTGCCTGCAACATGGTCACGCAGCACTGTTCCTGCGAGAAGTGAGCCTTCAGCACGGCCTCGGATCCACCGACTCCACTCTCGTCTTCTGCTTTTCAGGCTTCGCAGCTTGGGGGGACTTTCCACTTGCAGCCTTACCCCTCGTGTCCTTCCTTCACAATAATGGAGTGCCCGGCGAAAGTGTTCAAGTCGGCACCCGGGCTCCCACTTGTTATTGCAAATCGGCTTGTATCAGACCCCCGGCTCAAGCCCTATCAGCGTACAATCCGGAGCGACCTTGATTGGAGCTTTTGTGGTCCAAGGCACACCAAGCAGATCCGGACCAGTGGTGTCCTCTGCCGGAAGCTGTTATAAGCTTCTTGCAGGAACCTCCCTCCTGTCATCCCTTATGGGTTTTCTGTCTCTGCGTCTTCTGCTTCCTGTCTCTCTCATTGGCAGCATCGAACATGAAGGCCCGAGTTTCTGTTCGCATATATGTATCTCTATATATATATATAGATAGATAGATAGATAGAGAGAGAGAGAGAGAGAGAGAGAGAGAGAGAGAGAGAGAGAGAGAGAGAGAGAGAGACAGAGAGAGAGGGGGCACAAACTGAACTCTGGTCCGAGGCAGGGGCCCAGGACCCCGAACGTCGAAGCAGAAAACACATCGAGGAGTTAGACGCCTTTGATGTTAGGTGAGGCTTGGGGGATGCAAAACTTGAAGCCTAGTGCAGTGCGGTAAACCGGGTTTCGGAGTTGAAGCTCTCACCCTAGCAAACATAGTAGATCATAAACGTGTATGTATATATATATATATATATATATAGAAGTCATAAACTTATACGGTAGCTCTATATATATATATATATATGTATGCACATTGTATGTACCTGCACATCAAACACATACATACACGCTGTTCATCACGTCGTCACTCCTGTACGCGCAGGTATGTACACGAAACTCCGAAACCTCAACCAGTCAACTCGGAACCCTTGCGGCGGCTTGCGGCCTCCACGGAGCTCTGGTCGCGGATGAATCCGAGCAGCTCCTGCCACGATCTACAGATTATGATGAAGCCAACTGCTCAGCGGCCCATGTAAAGGCATTCATGCGTTGTGTGCCCGGCTTTACACTGACCCAGGGCACGGGCAGGTTGAAGATAGAGCTAGAGTTCAGCCTTCAGATGCCGAGATCCCCCCATCTGATGGTGATCTTATGCTACGAAGCAGTCCTAGTGAGATAGATTACTGCATAAAGATAGTTCCCCAGATTTTCTGATCGTTGGTTGAGGGGCTCGGAAGGCTAACAACGGTCGCACGCGGATTCCTTCAACTTTTCACCAATTATTCATTCAACCAGTGCCCGCGGATTCTGTCAACCCGAGAACGCGGATGCATTCCACCCTAAAACATGCTTCTTTCAACCCCGGCACGCGGCAACCATGGCCCCGGCAGTGATTCCTTCAACCCAAACAACTGCTTCGTTCGACCCATATATACACAAAGAGTCGCTCCAACTACGGACACGCGCGCTACCCCACAACAGTTTAGTGTTGACGGAAGCGGGGGGCGGAGTTGACGGAATCAGCACAGTCTGCGTTGATGAAAGCGGGCGATGCGGGTTGACTGAATCCGCACTATCTGGGTTGAGGGACGCGGCGAACAGGGTAGAAGGAAGCGCGGTTGAAAGAATCTTGCTTGACGGAACCGCGTACCGGCTAACAAAGGTCGGCTTCCAGTGGCCTTCAGGGATGACCTTTCGCAAGAAACCACAAGTTTCGTGACCAAAATTTCACTGTCGGACCTTCTGGAAAAAAGGAGAGGCAAGAGCCCAACATGCTGTTTCCACAAACCCGACAATCCAAAAGAAACTTTTGCACCCCCAAGCCACCCTGAATCTACAAGACTCGGAACCTTCACACCAAATCCGTGGGGCTGCGCACTGGCCTCCTTCAGAGTCTTGGCAGCAGAGTTCAAAGCTTTCCTGTGCTTCCAGATTCAGATGTCTGTTGCGAAGACTCTTTTCCTTTAGCCTGTTGTTGATCCACGTGTTAAAACCGGAAGTCCAATAGCAGCGAGCATTGATGGCCCCAACCTCCTCTCCGCACGTCGGCTACCCGACTAAAAGCAGCTGAAACACTTTCTGCGTCTCAGATCTTGCCATGCCACTCTTTGGGGTCGATGCTGTTGCAGAGCATTTGATCCAAGAAGTCGGCGACGGCGTCCTGAGCGCTGAACAGATTTCAGGATCTGGGGCATGGTGCTGACGGATACTGGGGCGAGAGGGCGCAGGGTATCGGGCTTTAGGTTCAGCTTGAGCTCAGAGCCGTGGGTACCACCGGTGGCGCGAATTGCACAACGTCTTGCGGTTCCCGGGCTGTGGCACTATACTAGAAGGACTCTACTACGCATTTAAAGGAATGTAGAGTAGCAAAGGAGCACTGAACGCAACAGCAGAGGCTCCAGTGTTGCGCTCACAGAGCCTCCCTTTTCAAACCTGGCATGCGCGTTGCTTAAACATGTCTAGATCCGAAGATACCAAATCTGCGGAGGGTCCAACGGGTTCGAAACTGAGCACTTCGGTTCTGAACCATGAATAACCATGAAGTGGGCATGCACATACCGTGACGCCGAGGGTCCAGATTCATGGCGGTTTGTGGCTCGTCCGGCTTGAAATCGTTGGACGTCTTCTTCAGGAAAAACTCGGGAACCTGACCGTCCAGGAAGAAACAATCAACTTCCTAGAGAGCCCCGGCACGAAGCTTTGCTCAATTGAGGTTTGCGGCAAAAGCAGAATGCTCCTTGGAACACGCGGGTACTGCCCACGTGCAGACGAGCTGCTGCAAAGCGCACGCTTTGCCGCAGCAGTGGATCCATGACTCCGTAGACAAAGAGACCTGAGCGCCAAAGCAGGCAAAGCGAAGCCGCTCGAAAGACACAGGACTCACAACATCTCACAGCAAAGCGTCCGTTTTAGGAACAACCATGCCGGAAAGAACAGGCAAAGCTAACTTCACAGGAGCACTGCGAGCGCTGTCAGAATTGCCCCAAACTGAGGACAGGCTTGTAGAACCGTAGAGACATCCCCAGTGTCAGATCGCCCCCCAAGCCAAATCCCGGTTGACTGATCTGGGTCAGTCGGCGTAGGGCCGGTAAGTAGGGGCGCAGGTCTCGCTCGATGTCCTCGCTTCGTGTCAACATGATCATCGCGCAATCTAGCAATAATCCCCATCTAACACTGCTGCCGTTGCTACGGTTGCTGTTGCAGTTGCTGGCGTCGCGGCTGCGACATTGATAGATGATTTTTGTTTCTTGTGCTCAATACACTTCCGGTGGCGCGTGTCATGGCGCTTGGCGGCTGCTGCTGGTGATGATAATGGCAGCGCCGGCGCCGGCGCCGACGGCGATGCGCCTCCTCTTACCGGTGCTTATCCTTCTACTGCTACCACTACAGCTACCACGACCACCAAGGCCATCACAAAACCACCACCGCCACCACCACCGTCGCCGCCGCCGCCGCCGCGCCAACTACCACCTTCGGCAACTTTTGGTAAACATCTTCTCCCACGCCGGACTCACAACCCTAAATCCGACTGGGCAGAATTTCAAGCCTCAAACCCTGACGCACGAAATCCCTGATCACGAAACTCTCGACCCTAGATCCCTGAACTACCCCAAGCCAAAGACTGACGGAGCTTGCCCCCCATGTTGCGAGTCTCCTGGAGGCTCGGAGAATCCTTCCATCTCCTTGCAGATTTTGGGGGCTTCGGCTTCTCGATGTCTGATCTCCGCATGGCTTGCATGGACTGGGTCTACCAGTATCGGTAGCATTGTTGCAGGGAGGCGTCTGGGCCGCATGCGCCACATTGCGCAACGCAAGCTTCATGAACAGGGGCAAATCCATGCTCCGAACGACCGGAAGGAATTTGTCCATGAGGAACTGCCGGAAGGAATTGAGGCCTGACATCGTTGCGACATGAATCGCAGGCTCAGGCACGGCTGCGCCTTGTTCGGAGCGACACCCGTTCTGGGACCCAGACCGATCGTGTAGATGTTCTTCAACTCCACCTCCTCCTTGCCTCGGTCCTCATTTCCCAGCTTTTCCTGCGGCGCAAAGGCGGCGAGTAGAAGTGCCAGGCCGCTCGCTTCCGGCTTGAGGTTCGAAGCTGAAACGCATGTATCTTAACTACAACATACCACCCCCGGCTCCCTCCTTGAAGTCACCGTAGCTCAGGCAGAAGCCGGTGTTAGAGCTGCTGCTGGAGATGGCGCCCACGAGCTCCAAGATGGATTCCTACAAAGAGGCTTGGGCTCAGCGGCAGAGGGGACGCTCAGAGCCCTGAATTCCCTCGCAGGCCTGCGGCAGATCTTTCGACTTGGATCCGAGGAAAGGGTGCATCACCTGCAAGGAGATACGGATCTCTGCTTCGGGGACGGCTCTGATGAGTGGCTACGAGGGTTGGGATCATGCTTCCGCTCTGCCTGTGTGGCCGCATGGCCTAAAGGTCCGAGCCACTCCCTTCCTTTGTCAAACAACTTGCGGAGCGAGGGGGGGTGCATGGGGTCCTTAGTTGAAGGTGAATCTCCCCGTTTCTCTGACAATCACAGGGTAAGGCAAGGGTCCAGACCCCGGACCCCCAGACTGGCCTGTTTGGCAAAGGCCTGGAGAAGCGCCTCCATTGTGCGCATGAGCTAGATGTGGCACGCAACAGGGCTCGGACTTGTGGGTCTACGTACAAAGTCCAGAGAGACGGATCGAGGCATCGCTGCACTCGGGCTCTACAAACATCTACCTGAATTCCAGCCACCCGATCCCAGCGGCCTGCTGTGAGAAGACCTTGAAGGCCATGGAGGACCCCTTGCTGTTCAAGAACTGCTGCTCTTGACCTGGAGGTCCAGTTCACAGGGCCTCGAAGGTCTTCTCTGCAGCTCAAGGCACAGGAAGCCCCTACACCCCGGCCGAGACCTGGCCTGCGTTCTCTGCCTCCTTGGAGATCATGATCTTCAGCAGGGAGTTCAGCAGGTGCTGGCACCTCCGGGGCTCCAGGCTTGGGGAGGCTTTCAGGTCAAAGTTTGAGTGTCTGCGGCGGTCAAGTGCCCCTCACGCTGCAGCTCTCTGCTCAACAAGCGATGGCTTCCCAACACCCGAGGCACCGAGGATCTGCAGTGTCTCCATAAAGGGCGCGGATGGTGCCAAGGAACGTGTCCGTGTCATCCTCGTTTGACTTCATGGCCACGGGGCCCAGGGAAAGGCTTCGGATTCTGAGGTAAATCATTTGTTAAATATGCAATATCAATCTTAGCAGTAATCATTATCAATGAACTATTTCTTTAACCCCTGTATTGTCATTAACAGCAGGTTTCAAGCTTTGGGTGTGGCATCGGGCCGGGAAGCCTTCCGATGGGCGCCTGTGTGGCAGAAGCATTTAGCCGCGCGGCGGCATTGACACAGACATATGAGCAGCCGACTTCAAACTCTAGAACACCCCAGCCGTAAACCCTTCGTACGTGCGTGTAGTTGTGGAGACCTGCAACGAACCTCGGACATGGACACATGTAGCTAGAAGGCAAGAAATCGTGCGTTTGAACCCCAAAGGCCTCGTCCCTGATGTATTGCGACAGCTGTGCCAGATAGAGGGGCTGCTGCTGGAGGAGCCAGAGCATGCGGCTGTAGGTCTGCGCAGCTCAGGTAGAAGCCGGCTTGTGCAATTTAGGGCGCAGTAGGTACCTCTTGACACCTCTACCGTCGGCATCGAACGCAAACCTCACGAATATTTTCTTTGAGGAATCGGGGTGACGAAGGAGCACCGCGAGTGTAGCCCTCAGAAGCTCGAACAGGTCAAAATCGAGGCTCAACCGTACAGACCCTCCGACTCCGACCCTCGCTTGACCGGGCCTGAGCACTCTGTCTAGAATCTAGAAAACATGGGTAATTCTCAAAATTAAGGTGCCCTGTTAGGACACAAAATACTGCGGCACCCTAATAGAAAAGACCTAAAAGTGACTTAATTTTGAGAACTACCCATATGCGTACATACGTAGAACCATACACGCAAATGCATGGACCCGGCCGCAATCTGCTTCGGCATCCGCTCGTCCACAAGCGGGCTTGCGGTGTTTGGCTGAGCGACGTGTGGCCACCAGCCTGCATCAGTTGCGGTCGTTGTTGGAGTAGGTGTTGGTGTTGTCGCTGTTGTTATTGTGATGGCCGTGGCGGCGGAGGTCTACTTTTCGCTTGCGATGTGCTGGGCTGCTGCTGGTGCCCGCTGTTGCTGCCAGTGTTGCTGCTGTTCTTTGAGATTCAGGACGAGGGGCGAAGACTTGTCACCACGGAATCGCCCAGCTGCATGACCTTCTTGCGGAGGCCTTCCTGAAGATCCCAATTGCGGTTTCAGACTTCAGGTTGTCTGGGGCTCAGGACGGGGTAGTCAATGCGGGGCAAGATGACTCCGGGGTAGAAGGGAAGCAGGCCGGGACCCCTGCAGCCAGAGCTCCCCAGCTTCAACGACTCCCGAGAAGCCCAGTACGACTACCTTAACCCGGAATAACCTACCTTTTTGAGGACTTATATAAGGAAATCCAGCGTTAAGGTAGGCCCTCCGAATTGTGAGAAACGGAGGTTCACGAGCTCTGCCCTCAGAGCCCTCCTCCTCGTCGCGAAGGCTTCGGATCTCCTGGATCAACTCCTGCCTTAGCGACGGGGGCGTCAGGAAACTGCAGGATCGATCACTATGGTAGACATGTCCACACCGCCCCACTGCATCATGTTGTACCCAAAACGCAGTGACTCCTCGATAAAGCTTGCATCCGTCCATGCCAAGCTGCACCATTTGTTCAAACTCCTCCGCATCCTTTTTCAAGGCGCTTTCTTGCTGATTCGTATCCTCCTGCTTGAGAACCGTCTGCAAGATGACGAAGCTTACCTGAACCCCATGAATTTCTGGATGCTCACATGACCCTCCAGCTCACAGCTATGTCGGTGAAGGCCCAACTTAGTTGTTGCCACTACGCACGTCTCAGCAGGCAAGATCTCCGAAACTCCAACCGCTACCACTCGGATACCCGTCCGGGACCGTGCAGGTGCGCAGTGATGGATTTCTAGACGGCGGCTGCTCAACAACTGAACCAAAACAGTTGAAACAAGCCCATAGGGAACCCCCCTACCGTCCCCCACCCTTCACAATCCGTTCGTGTTCACCAACTTCGCAAGTATCACAACACTTCCTACCTACGCTCGGTTGAACAAACTGGCCACCTCCTCGGCCCCTGACAGTCCATGGTCAATGCAGCCAGTCGGCAACGTTCTGCGTTCTGTCCTTGGTGCCCTTGGCTGTAGCCGTCGTCGTCTCCTGCTCCGGTCCAAGTGGCCAACGGAGTGGCTTTGACTCGAATTTCGGAGTACGACCAAGAGCCCGAGCAAACCCGCTAAGTCAAAAACATGCCGGATTGAATCCCACAGGAGTGCATTTTGGTAGTTCTACTGTTTGGGGAGATGGGAAGAGCTTCGGCTTGCAATCCCTGCGGCATCATGGATGCAGAAAGCGGTGCGCGGGGCGTCGGGGGTCTTCCATTTTGGGGTCCTTGCATTGAGGAGCCTGCTACATGCTTGTGTGCTGCAACCCGGAACTGTGTCCCAACTCCGTAAACCCTACTGTTACACCGGACATACGTGCTTAGGTCTAACATTTCGGAGTCTACGCCTCAAGCAACCTTGAAATTAAGCCCGCTCAGACTACAATCTTGGGAAACTCCGATTATTGACCGTTGCCATCTTCAGCCCCAATAGCCCGCCAGGCCTCCGACTTCTCTGTCTTCCCGGCCACGCTCTCCGTGTCCTTGCTGGAGCGCACGGTCTTCCGCCTGGCCGCTTCGTCGGTGCATCAGAGAAGTCCACTCGCAGAACGATTTGCAGGCGCAAGTGCCCCTTAGCAAAACTGACCAGGCTTTGCAAGACAGCTCCATAAGTACGCAGCAGTCGAACTTCGTTGGCACACGCCTGATAAATCTCTATAAGAACGGAGCCGTCATTAAGGACAGACAGACAGACAGGCAGACAAACGAACATACACATGTGTATACGTATATACACATACATACGTGGGGTGTGTCAGCAAATATGCACGCTTACTATGCACATATGTACACACACACACACGTGCATGCATGTAGGTAGCTATGGAGCATGCAAAGCGCCTACCTGAATCCATGAGCTGGGGCCCCCTGCGACTGCTGGGGTCGAGCTGCCGTTGCAACGGTGGACCATGTGGCGACCTGAAAGCCCGGCAAATTCGAATCTACTTTCCGATCTGCCGGGAGGGCCTCGTCACGGGGCTTCAGCTGACCAGGGTTTGCGGCACTGTCGAAGTATGAGGACAGGAGTTGGTGCCATACTCTACTACCGTCTACAGGTCATCGCCTGGGGATTTCAGACCACATCAGGTCAGTATGTGACTCTTATGATTGTTACCCCTATCCACTCTATCCTGCATCATCTGAGGGACCCCCAACTTAGACCAAGTAAAAGAACTTCTCGAAAGCATCCACTCGGCATCACCTCACTTCTCTGGGCTCTTAAGACCAAGGATGGACTACGGAGCTGCGCCTGGGCTCCCACGGACTTCACCTTGCATCTACCTAAAAAAGCCCCCCTCGTGTTTGTGGTCCACCGATCGAAGCTCCAGTCATTCAAGAAGAAAGACCTCTGGAGTGCCAATGTAACCCGAATACTGAAGTCCTGAAAGCTCTTGAACCTAAACCCGAAGACTCAAGTCCCGCTGTTGCCTTTCAATAACTGAAGCTCACGGACATCGAACCATTTCTGTGAGAAACTCCTTCTTCAAACCGTGTAAGCCACGGTGATCTGCTATACTATAACTCTCGGCAGTTTCTGCTGACTCATTCTACAATGCTTGCAGATTTTGGCGATTCTGGTGGTTCATGGATGGCAGGCTAACTTGACTTGGAGGTTAGCCAATGCGTGAAGTTGCAGCAGAAGCTTGCTTGGCCCCGGTATTCAGAGTAGCTCGTTTTGTCTTGCTCTTGATGTGTAGAGGCCTTGCTCGAAACTCCAACTCTGACGCAAAGCTCTAAACTAAACCCGCTCTTCACAATTAGCTTCACCATTACGATACGATTCTACGCATTTATGGTTTACTGCCACTCTGTGCTCCTGTTCTTCCCACCCTTCGCAACTCCCAAGGAAGGCAGGCTACGACCAAGGAGGGCTCCCAGCAGATCCGTTCGTCCTGCGCACAAACTCCTATGCCCTACTGGCCCATAACAAAGGATGGTTGAAGGGTCTACAATCAGTGTTCCCGTCTAAGGACCCAACTTCACATAACCCGCAGTTGGGCTCAGGGTGCAAACTCGACCGTTGAAGTTCTCTGACTTGCATTGGATTCTGCGATCTGCACTTCTGTCGGCAAATCTGTGAAGACGAGGGGTCTCATACATCTAGGTCACCAGGGTCTAGTCAGCTTGGAGCTTGCAGCCAGTAGGGTGCGGTAGGAGTTTCTTACTCAGGATGCACTGGAGCGCAGAAAGTTGTGTGCGACCTTGCCCTTGCCAAGGCTACGACAATCCGACAGCGAGAACGCATGGTAAGGCGAAGTCACAATCTCTCACTGCGAACGAAGTAGTCATGTCATCTTTCTTCACATGTCATCTTTCTTCATCTCTCATGAAACACTCATTGACTAGACTAATCAAGCAAATAAGCACACAGTCAGTGCAACAACGAAATCAGCAACAAAAACGAACTCACATCCATATAATGGAAAGCGAGAGAGAGAGAGAGAGAGACTTTTTGACTTTGCGATCGCAGAACCGTCCCCTGGTCCCTTGCGCGGCGTAGGCGACACGCCGAATTCAGAAATGAATTCAGCGCGGCTAACGAGAGCTGTAATGTACATCGCCTTAGACAATATCAGCTCGATGAGCTGAGACTGAAACTGAAATCGAGCTCTGACTACATGGACTTGCAGTCCGCAGTTCGATACTAACTCTAACACCGGCATCACTGGCTATACAGATCAAAGCTTAGTGAGACGAAAGCCGAGAATATAGCAATTCTCACTCAGGATCCGAGCATATGTTGGATGACACAGCTCGGGCGATTGACCATCTTCTGTACACCACCAGGTGTAGGTCAGGCTCCCCGAAGGGGCCGACGGTCTCCCCGAGGGGGCCGAAATCCCCGGTGCACTTGCAGGTGCCACATCTCCTGGCCGTGAAGTTGCAGACACCTGGGATGCAAAGTTTTGGGCATCACGTGGATGCGCAAGAAATGCACGATAGTGGCCTTGCTGGGGCGAGGGCCCCAGGTGTAAAATCCCCGCCACCAGCTCGTAGGTGGCCCATTGGATCTCATGTCCAGGACCTCGAAAGACAGGGAAACTGACTCGCTGCATGGCCTTACAGGGGATACACGTCTTATTTTTCCCTTTGGTGGGGTTTGCATAGCGGGCAAGGCTGGTGAGCAGGTAGGGCGGTGCTTGGAGAAGGCCGTGGGGAATCTTCTGTTCGTGCCAGCTGATAATGCATTCTTGGATGGTGGCACTGGAGGTTTTCTTAGGGAGAGGGAGGTCAATGCTGAATAGACCACTGATAAGGGGTCTGCGTGCCGCAACAGTACCTGGTATCGGTCTTGCCTCCCACTGACATCGCATGTGTGCTGGGCAGTGTTGGTCAAATAAGTGATGTATGAGCTCAAGGCAATCTTGCTGGCGATGCAGGTTCGTCCAGCCGCTGAGAGAAGAGTGCCACCCGGGAAGGTCAGGGATGGTGATCCGCTCTCCAGGTATAGGGACAGGAGCACTCAACAAATCTTGCAGTGATCGCTCAAGAGACTGGGTGCCATGGACTGGAGCACAGGGTCCTGCAAGGTGTTGAATGTAGGCTAGCAGATACGCAGTGGCATTTATGTAACAAAGATTGTCTGGGTTGTGCAGTGTAAGATGTAGCAGTGCAGCAGGAATGCACACAGATCTGAGTTCCCTGCCATCTACCATCCCACGGCCTCCTGGATCTCCTTGATCAACGGCGACCGCTCTGGGCGGGCCGGTTTGAGCCGGAGAGAGAGAAGCAGGAGCGCTGAGTTGGCATACCATTTCCGGAAGATCGCCATCGCCTCCGATGCTTCTGGTTGCTGCATGGACAGCTCCAACACAAATGTCGCTGTCTCGGATGTCGAGTCGGGCTTGGCGTTGCGGCCTCCGCTGAACTTCAAGACTAGGTCCGGATTCTTCAGCAAGGTCTTGAGTCTCTTGGCATCTGTGAGGATCTGATCGTGAGTGAGCGTCTCCGCCTGCCGGGGGACGAGCTTCTTGTCCTCGAAGTCCCAGTCCAAGAGAGAGAGAGAGAGAGAGAGAGAGAGAAAGAGAGAGAGAGAGAGAGAGAAAGACAGACAGAGACAGAGCGAGACAGAGACAGAGCGAGGAGAGAGAGGGAGAGATTGACTTACTTATTACGTGTTACAAGCAAGTAAAGCCGCAGTACGATAAAATGAGAACGGCAGCATTTCGAACCCGAATTGAGATCACCTTGCCGACAAACGCTTTAGAGGGAGACAAACAAGTCAAACAAGGACTGTTGTTTGACTAACGGGTCCCGTTGAAGCATCAGTATAACAGCAACATCTGACTATCTCAAACAACAAAAGGTGATGCGCCTGTTAGCAAATCCTTGCAAAATTGCGGCTGCAGTCTCGGAGAGGAGGGCAGGATTAGATAGTTAAGAAGGCTTCCAAGCCTCTGGTGGCGTCGAGGTTCTGAGAGCATCGCACAGGTCACAAGGAACCGTGTGGCAATAACATATTGGAGGTCATCTCAAAGTACTGCAATCAATAACAACTGCGACTAGAATATGAGACCATAGTGACAGGGCAGAGTCCATTCCTGACATTTCTAAAAAGGCCCCAAGAAGCCCCAAAAGACCTCGATAAGTACGGCGTCCAGGCCTTGGTCTCCACAAGGCCCAAGCGCCCGCAAGTCTGGTTGCCCCAGGCACAGACGTCACCACTCTCCTGGGGGGGGGGCCAGAGGCGCTTTGCGTTCGGGATTGCGCAAGGTTTGCTTCAAAAACCTAAATCACAGAGCCAGCATCGAGGCATGAGGAGTTAGGCTTGACCGGCTTTTGAAGCGTGTTTGCTCGACTCATTTGGGGCTTTTGGGATTTAGTTTGCGATTTGGGGCTCAAGAAGTGAATTCGGGCTAGATCCCAAAGGCTGGGTGGCAGAGCATCGCGGCACCAGTCTACGAGGGACGTATGAATCAGTCATGACGATACCCTGCGATGGCCTTCGTTTGTCGTTTGTCATGGCGTCCATCGAAACTCTTTTTGTTGGAAAGGCCTTTTGCAATCGCAACTTAGAGAAGTTGGCTCGTCGACTCGCGACTGGCCACAGCGCAAAGCAGCGAGGCATCCCACGGGGGCCCCGGGCTTCAATGACCAAGCAACTACCCACGTAGGTATGGACGCGCACAGACGGACGGAACGAACAAATACAGCAAGTATCACTCCAACACTCCGCACAGTGAGAGGAAGAGCTGCGGCAATTCGTTCAGCCTTGCATCTGCCCAACAAGACCAGTCCTCGACGTGTGTCAAGGACTAGCTGTCCGAGCATGGAGTCCCTTAAGTCCCATGGCTTGCGAACATGGGGCGAGGCTTGCGATAGTGAAGTTGCCGCCGGACACGATGTCAGTAACCTTTGATAATCGCACCACAGATGGGCACGTAAGTCTTGCAAGTCGCGCATGCACGCCCACGACTGGGGCACTGCGGGTGCATCCAAGCTGCAGGTTCATGCAGCGGCTTCACATGCGACGGCGCTGCCACATGCAAGCCGCTCTGCTGGCCTCTGCCAAGAGCGCTCTGTGATTGTGTGAAATCACCAAAGTTGTCCAGACTAATCTCGAGCCCTGTATCAGCCTTCATAGAGAGTCTTGCGTCGGCACATTTGGGTGCAGTGCTGCATCTCATGCTTCACACGGCTCCCAAAAGCCCCCATGACTGCACCAGACCATGCCATGAACCTTCCCAAGACCCAGACCCAGCACCGACTCCCGGGTCCCTGGCCTAGGCCCAGCTGCCCGTAGCGGTTGGAGCCCCAGGCCAGGAGGTGGCCGGCTTTGTCCACCAAAAATGTCTCGAGCTCCCCACCTTTCATTCTTAGGGGCTGTCTTCTGGCATTCTAGGCAGTCGGGGGGGGCAAGGCGCTGCTTCTCTCACTACATAATCGGCGTGGTTGCCGAATGTTCGCCTGGAGGCTCTCCTGCCCTAAGAAACCCCGGGGGCGGTGGCCCGTGGTCTTTACTCTGGACCCTCTTCAGCAGCCCTGACAGCTTCCAGCCCAGCCGCAAACGACAAGCTTGAAGTGCGAACTGCCCTCGATCAAGAAGCGTTTCGGCTGCAACACCTGCAATGTTGAAGTGTTGCGTGTGCCAAATATGCTTCGAGTTTCCGGTTGACGCGTCTTTCTGAAAGGGCAAAATGAGAAGCTGTCTTGCATGGAATGTGTCGAAAAGCAAGTGTTTCCTCACCAACCGTGTTGCACAAACTCGCAAGTGTTGGTCGTAAGAACGGCGGATCTCGTCATGAGGCATGTGTAATGTTTGTGCTCACGTGTCGGGCCAGTTTTGCGAGCCAGGGTCAGGCTGTCGCATGGTCGAACGTCTGTGAATTAACACTCTTGCAGCCCTAGATAGCACCGGAGGAGAATGCGGCTCTATTCAGATTTTGCGAAACCCGAACCTCCCGAACCGCCCACCCAAACCGCGAGGATTCGTACGCTGCAGACCGAGGGGCGTTCTGGACCTCGCCCAGGAGGGAGCCTTTGCCCCAGAGGAAGAGCTCGTCTTGCAGGGTGATCTCAGCCGGGACATTCTTCTCAAATGGAGTGGACTTTTTGAGAGTTTCGTGTGGCGGCCCTGTGCCAAACTTTACGAGCTCGTGACAACCCAGCTGTGGAAGTCGCCTCTCCAAATTCATGGACTCCGAGGATGTGGCAGCTCTTCGTTCCAACCACAACCCTCCAAGAGCCCTTGGAACAGCTCGACCCCAAAACCTTGAACCGTATGGTGTGGCCATATCTCCCAGAACTTGGGGTGTCTTGAGGTTCAGGGTATGAAGTTGTGGGTGATGGTGCAGGTCGTTTGTCATGTTCTGTCCAGTCGCAGCAGCTGCGTGGTCAACACCCAGCGAGAGCTCTCGCACCTGCCGCTCCAGATAGTTCATGGTATTAAGTATACGTACAATGCCCAAGCATTTCAGAGTTTATGGGTGTCTGAACAACAGGAACAAGACATAGATGCGTAGCTTAGCAAAACTGCACTCATAACTTAAAACTCAAGGGACGGGTCTGTGGAACCTCTACGCCGGTAAACCGAGCTTCAGCGGCCATTTCAGGTCCTTTTAGCTTTGCAAGCCCGCAATGGATCCTTCACACCCCAAAGTCCGACACACGAAAATCCCCAAGCACCATGACATTCGAGAAACAGGTGACCTCAAACCTCACGAAAGCCTAAGACCTGAACCCAGGATATCTTTCTCAGCATCAATTTCAAAATCTTCAATGAAACCCTGAAGCCTCAGGACCCCAAAGCCTAGAAGTCTTACGGTACCTCGCTCCAAACCTCAAAGCCCCACGGTGGCAAACCAAAACAGGATCATCCTAACAACTCGCCAAAGATCCGAATTACACCAAAAATCCCCAACAAAAACCCAAGACCTAAAAAACCCCACAGCTTCCCCCAAGAGCCCTCTGAGACCCCGTGGGCGCCCCGGTCTTCGGCAGCTTCACGCGCGCCGGGCGGCTGTGGGACTCCTGGCTCCCGAGGCCCAACCTCACAAAAACGGGCGTTGAAGTTTCGGCCGGCTTTTGGGGTTTGGGGGTTTTGGATGGTTTTGGGGCTTCAGGGTATGGGGTTTCCGGGTTCGGTAGGTAGGATTGGGATTTAAGTTGATGGGGCGTCAGTGCGGCGGAAGGCTTGGGCTTTGGGGTGTTATTTCTTACTGCTTGGCCTCCGGCAGCTTCCTGAAGGTCGTCTTTGAAGCTGTTTCTGGAGAACAGCTCGCTCATTGGTAGAAATACACCTACATCGACATCTACATCGACATAGACATGGACTTACACTTATCATTATGCATTATACATTGTACACTATACATTGTACAGTGTACATTAAACTTTGTATGTTCTTATACATAGTTGTACATATACATAGACGTATACATATACGTATACATGTACATGTGTATACACACATACATGTACATGTACCTGTACATGTACATGCACATGTGTGTGCATATATATATATATATACAGATGTGTACATACAAGTACTGATGCAGATACAGATACGGATACACACGGACATACAGATATATGATGAATGGCGTATGGTGTGTTTGTAAGTGTGCGCATATATACGTGTATATGCTTATACATGAATACATATGAACACAGAAACACAACTGAGTCCGCTTTTGTCGCAACTTATTAGACTTTGGATTGGTCAGCCGAAATCGCCCGCCTGCCATACCAGCCGTTGCCAAACGTCCAAAGCGTGTTCTCGGTCTCCGAAGGGCCCTCGGTGCATAGCCAACACTGGCAAAGCGTTCTCCTATCTTCTTTGCTGAAGAAGTTTGGGCGCAGAAACCGGCTCTGACATACGTGGAACACTCCTTCGGGGAATGCCTGGGAACTGCAATGGAACCGGAACAATCTCTCTACGTGAACAAGGATGATCGTCACACCGGCCTTCATCCAAAACCTACAACCACAAAGGAGACCCTAGTGGATCCTAGTGGGCGTGCACTTTCCCAGTATTCTCTGCTGACTCCTGAAAAGCGCAACGAAACTCCCGCAGCATCAAGCGATACGACCCACATTCCTTCCCTAAACTTAGCATGCTCCTTTGCGGACGAGGAACGCCTTGCCCGCAAACCACTGCAGTGCTGTTTGCGCCGCATCTCACCTGCACCGGGGGATGCAGACTCCCTGGGTAGTGATTCCTTCATATTGACCTCTAGGTTTCCGCATTGCTTCATTACAAGATATCTGCATGGTGCGCTATGCTACATTCCAGTCCTAATCTGTACAGTTGAGACATCCAAGCGAGACCAACAGCAGGATATACCGCTCACTGCTAACCAACATGGTATCGGTCGGTCCAAGAACTGTTTTCAAGTTCCGTGCATGGTGCTGCAGTTCACCTGCGGTCCCGTGCCGTACAGCATCCGGATCCATGATGCCATGTTCCAACGGTTACTCACAAAAATCCTTGTGACATGAGAAACAACAAGAAGAAGATCCGAGCGTCTGGAAAACATGCTTGACTGATACTTTTCTGACTGTCGAAATCAGGGTGGACGTCGCTACTGCTACCATACCACAACCACAATACTGCCACCACCACTACCACTCCCACTCCCATTCCCCCATGCGCCACTGCTGCTTGCTACTGCTACTGTTACTGCTGTACCTGCACTGCTACCTGGTACAAACTACCTGTACTAGCTGCTCCGTCTACCACCACACCTCTGCAGCCAGATTTTGCCAACCCTCTGTGCAACTGTTCTCACAACCAAGTCGCAAGGAGCGGATTGGACTGAGGCCCGTCCGTGTCGAAGTTGACCTGCGCACTGCAGCAAAAATTGTGAGGCTTCGGTGTTCAGAAGTAGTATCTTCCCATCCCCTCAACTCCGCTTCCAAACCTTCTGGCGGCGCAAAGCAGCGTTAAGTCCTATTGTTGACGCCCCCCCTTAGGTCCCAGATTCTCCAAAAGTGGGGCCAGGGTCCTTCTCTGTCCAAGTTCATGTGCTGAAGACCGGGTTTGTTCCCCTTAACTTACACGAATCTTCTTCATGCAATTCTACATGGCACTTTAGCACCAACCCAGCTACCCAATCACTCACCGGCGTGCGCGCACACCCACCCAGTCAGCCAACCACACATGCCAGTTCGTCGGTTGCTGGCGACCCCTACTACAAGTACCGCCACTACACCACTACACCGACCCCCACCATTGCTGCCACTACTACCAAGCCCACGGCACAAGCACCTCCACACCAGACCCCCAACCCGATGCTCACTGTTCCCTCCACTCTGCAGCTTGCAGGCCGGCCGAGGCGGGTCTGCACAGCGGGTAAATTAGCTCAAGGTCCGCTGCCGCGCTGAGGGCTTGATGCTTGAAGGCTTTGCCGTCTCCAGTATCACAAATTTGGAAATTACCGTCCCTGGGAAAGCGGGGCGCAGAAGCTCCGGTCTAGACCTGAAGCTGCACAATCGAAGGTAACCAACTCCTTCGAAAATAAAGCTTTGAATCTGCCTGAGCCAGGAAGCCTCCACTGAGAATCTCCTCCCTTTACCCCTCCCCCCTGACCGCTCCCCTCCCCTCCCTGACCACCTTCGTCGGGGTGTGCAAGGGCCCGGATGTGATGAACTGTCCAAGGCCCAGGACACCACTGTCAGAGCTCCCCCAAGTGTAGAGTAATCCTCCAGCTGTGAGGCTCGTCTGATTTGAGTTGTAAAGTCGGTTGTAAGGGCTTTGCGTTTGACTTGTGCAGGTAAGACATGAATGTCATAATGCTCCATAGTCTTTTGATGTGTTGCAGATGAGCTGAAACAAGAAAAGCTGGAACTCACCCTCCAGCCTGAAAGCCTGATATGCCGACACAAGGGCCACACTGTTGATACTACGCATCATAGAACGTCTACTAACCTACTACCTACTACAGTGCATCTTACACATTGCATATGACTTCTTATGTGCCAAGTTTCATTTGATTTACAAAAAACACGTGTCATACTGCATCTTCTGCTATGCACATAACATGCTATGAACACTCGACTGCATACTATCAACCCAAAATGGCGGGCCTTTTAATTCATGCATCCATACTGCATGCTCGCCATTTTCATGTATATACAGACATTTTAAAATCAAGCTGTCGATCGTCTAGCTGTCTAGCAATCTGGCTTTCTAGCTTTCTATCTGGCGATCTAGCTATCTCACACCTGTGCTTCTGGCGGCTATTCTGGCTCGGGCATATCGTTGTCATTCTCAGTGCTTTCACAAGAAGGATACTTTTTTGTGGAAGGCTGGGGGAATCACGACCTACCCCCCAAGTCTCCATCAGCATGAACGAAGCTATTTGCTGCCTGCTGCTAAGCATCTCTCACCAGTTGGAGCCTGGACGATGGCAGCACCGTGGATCCTTGGGACAGGTCCGACAAGGCACGTGGAAATCCGAGAAGCTCTTATGGTCGCAGTCGGAGGATACTGCCCCGCAGCCTGCGTTTTAATCCCATCACAATCAACTTCATGCGAAACCCCAGCCCCGTCGACTACACCTGTGCGTCTGCGACATCTTCGCGGTCTATGTCTAAGGTCCCGAAGCCTCGACCTGCGCAGTTGCTGTTGAGAGGCTCACCCGCTGCCACTGTTTGAACTCTATCCAGGGTTGGCACTTGGCACGGCGAGTTGGCGTCTCCTCAGCTGCAGGGGAACAGGGGCAGGGAGCAGATGTAAATGGATGCATCAAGTTCTGCCCTGCATGCTTTCTAGTTCACACTGCTCTGAAACGATCTCAAGTCCCAATGCTCATTAGCCTGATACCGGTGCCCAAGCCAACTGTGCAAACAAGAACGCCAATTCCACATCGATCCAATGCCTAAACCCCACAACCCAAAGTTCCAGAAGCCGCCCTGCACGCCCTGAAACCTAGAAGCCCAAATAAATGTCCTCTAGAACCACGTTCTCTCTTGCCTAGTGTGAGGGGCCTCTCTGACGAACCCAAGCTCCAGACCTTCACAATATGTGTACAAATATATATATATATATATATATAGACTAGATATAGCATAAAAATACAAAATACATACTCTGCAATATGTGTAACCTCTGAACCCCACCTGCAAGACGCTCGAAGCCCTGGCCCTGAATGAGAGAGCCTCAATGGACAGTTCAGACTCCCACCTATGTTCTCAGTATCACTGTTCCTCGTTACCGAAATTACTTCACGTAGTTTTGCGATGACTTCTGGACATTGGTCATGTACTAGTGTTGCCTTCAGTGCACATCTTCAGCTTCCTAAACCCTGAACCTTCAAACCCAAACCCTAGACCCTAAGACCGTCAAACCCCTGTTCGAACCCTAAGGCCGCAAGGTGACCGAAGGCGACAGCCGTCAGAACCCCCCAAAACTTAACACCCCAAGCCCTAAACCCTAAAAGAACCCTCTTGCCCCACACTGCAGCAACACGCATAGGAATCCTTCTTGTAATCCTGACAGCAGTAACCGAAATATACACTTACCCTGAGCCCGAAACCTGAAGCCAAGCTGCGGCAGTGGCCAAGGCCCAGCTGACCTTCGAAGCCGCGCCCCCAGGACCAGAGCTCCTGTGACTTTTGGATTTAACGTTTAGGGTTTTGGATTCATTTGGGGTTTTGTACGGATTACGGTTTTCCTATGGGCATTATAAGGGTTGCATACGGTTTTCTATTGGGTTTTGGATGGTGTGCTTATGGGATTTATGGGGGTCTCTAACTTCGGGTTTGGCCAGGGCTTTGGGGAGGTTCCAATTTGAGTGTTCCTTGAGGCTTCAGTGTCTTGAGGGTTCTAGTTCTTCCCAATACGGCGGTTTGAAAGGGCATAGCAGCTTTTCGGGCCTTTCGGGCGGTCGCGGGGTCCAGCGCCCTTCTGTCAAGGCTGGGCCTTGCAAGCTTCCTTGAATCCAACCGCTGCTACGCTGCGTGGGGGCTGGAGGCTGTGTGGTTTAGCGGCTGGGGGTGGTGGGGTTTGGTAGGAATCGTGGTTCTGCTCTAAGTCGATCTAACAACTCCGACTAAAGCCTTGAAGCCAGAAATGCAGATTCCCACGACCTGGGGCTTTGGACCTTGCAGCACGCCGCCGCACTCAGTGCTTTCGAAGTCTTGCTTCACATCACACGCAACACATTTCGTGTCATCTCGCGCTTCTGTGGAACCCTCCCAGAGACCGGCAGGCGGGCCCGACAGGTTTTAGCAAATGTTGAAGACTTAAAGTGTGGTGATATTCATACTATTATCACATGGTTGCGATCTCTGTCAAGACGTCAAGCAATCTTCGCAGCTCCTCCGACATGGTCGCTGCCAGGGTGAACCTCATCTCGCACCGAGGGCAAGCTCTCTCCAGCGAGGCTTGCGGGTCCGGCGAAGGATGTCGGAAGCTGAGGCCTGGGCTCGTGTCCGCAGCATACCTCCGGAGCACAGATACTGGAATATCAAACAGCCAAACACGTGGGGTGATGCAGGACACCTGTATCACACTTCCATTTCATCATAGGCATATTAAGTGGCAGGCATGAACCGGAAAACAACCCTGGTTCGTTGAGCCCAAGAGAGCTGCCTGCTTGATGACACGTCCGATGTCCAGCTGCTTCGGCACCCAGTAGTAGATCTGACCCTCCTCTCCTGCACATCACAGCGATTCACACATACTACCCCAAATGTCCTCAAAAATCCTCACCCGCCAAAGGGTGAAACGTCTCGCGAAAGCTCTCCTGCGAAGCCGAGCTGCCCCACGGAGTCGCAGCCCCAGCCTCGGGGGGCACTGAGGGCTTCGAGGAGACCCAAGCTCGGGCTTAGGTTTCGGACTACTTCGGAGCGATCCTTGAGCCTTGAGCCACTTGAGCCAGGACGCCGTAAAGGAAGCCGCCGTGGGTGCGTGCGAACGCGTGCGTGGAGCCGCAGCTGAGCTCGGCCACCACGTAGGCCAACTTCGCCTCTTGGCGGTCCGGGGTCGGAGGCACAAAACCCCTCCTCTTCTGCTTCTGCTTACGGACTACGATCCCGAACCGAGCCGGAATGCCACAGACAGAGTGTCCAGCGGAACCTCCGGCAGAACCCTTTTGGTATGGCCCACAGCTCCATTCTGGCTACTTGCCTTTCCTGGTCCTGGTCTTCAGTGCCGCGTCCCGGAACATGCCTCTGGCTAGACCACTCTCCAAACCCGGTTTCTGCGACAGGCCAAGGCACATCATCAATGCGAGCATCCTTGCTGGAGTCCGTGTCTTCGAGCACATCGTGAGGGATGAAGACGATCTGATCCTACAAGGAATCTGGCTCAAGGCTGACGCCTACCTCCCTAAACCCTAAACCCTTAACCTAGGTGGGTTTGGGGTTTAGGGTTTAGGGGCTCCAAGCAACCCCTGCAAGAGATCCCAAAGAGGCCTTCTGCACTTCTGCCTCGGTTGGCATAGGCAGCGGCCTGGCAGCGTCCGGCTCAGATCCAGCCCAAAAACATATGGCATGTCTCCGAAAATGGGGGACCCTAAAAGAGTACTCCAGATAGTAGAAGCCTTGCTTTGAGGACCCCCAAATAATAATATGGTACCCCTAGTTTTCAGTTGCATAGGTTGAAGCCGGAGATGCGGCTGAAGGCTTGGGACTTCCACTGTCCATGGGTGTTGTCCGAAAACCTGAATACTCATACTCAATCCACAAGCCATTAACGTAAACCCCCAGCCGTGATCCCTAAACGCTAGGTCTGCCCTCCAAGGGCCCCGGCTTCGGCGCCCACAGGGTGGTCTCGTTGCCGTGTCCAAGGCGGCCGTGGGCCCCGACACCCCAAGAGTACACAAGCCCTTTCTCCTTGGCATACACACGCAAGGTGCTGGGTAAAAGGATGGGTCTTCGGCCGTGTAGTGCCGTTAGAGTTAGAGACCGGACAATGCAACCACACACCACGGTGTGACACATGCCAGAAACTTGACCTCTTGACACTCTGCAATAAGTGGCCTCAAAGCTAGGGAGTTAATGAGCTGGCACTCTAGCCGTCTCTCTTGAGTCTTGCGAATATCCGGGCGCAACATACACAACCCATGACCGGGACCTCACACAATAAAATAGCCCAGTCTCCAGCAAAGCCATGCTGTGAAACATCCCCGCAGCTATCCTCGGCTGGCAACGGTCTGAAGGCTCGACACGGTGTGACCTGCCTTAAATTAAGCTGAAGTCAGTACTAGTACTACAATCATTGAATCGCCGCATCCCCAGGAACCGGAGGAAGCCGCTCAGCACCCTCCGCTCTCTTTCAAAGTGTCAGCAAATGACCCTCTGCGACTCCGAAACCCTTCCTGCCGCGGCACTGCAACACCTTGCTTGGGAGCTGCAGTGCAATCGGCACGGAAATGCAGCGCCGCTCCTCCCGTTCGTGGACATTGAGGTCGAGGGGCAGATTGAGTAAATTACAAAATTGAGGCACTGGAACTTTCGAGGGCGGTTGCATCTTGTTGCGCACATACGAAGTTCTGCTAACTCTGGGCTCTGGGTCTAGGTCACAAGGCCCGTGTCGAATTCCGCATGTCAAGTCAGCGCAGTTTGCACTATAAGGAGGCTCGAACCTCTAAACTCCATTTCGGGCATGAAGCCCTTTAAATCCCATCTACTCCAAGCAATATGCCCTGAACACACCGAATGAATGGCCGGCGAGCCACGCCCTCCACCAAGTGGCCGACTGCGGCACCACTGCCGCAGCTGTACAAACTTCCTCGAGGGCCCGCAGCATGGTTTCGGCGGCAACGAGGGCTTATGGATTCTTGAGGATTCCAGTGTCCAACGTTTCCGCAATGTTCTCTGAACACAAGCCCTGCAAACCCCCCGTCAGGACGAGGGGCCGAACCGTGGGCTGGCCTGGAGAGGCGATCTCCGGATTAGAGGAGGCACATTGGTAGCGGCTTTGCTTGGACCCAAGGGAAGGATGACGATCGCACATACGCTTGACAGCCATACGTGCATAAGTCTTGAGAGTGGCAGAACCCTTTGCTTCCCAAAGCCGAAGCCCATCCCAAACCCAGAGGCTTGAGCCTCCAGGAAAAGGGAATGGAAGCCTCCCAAAGCCAATGTCTTGATGGTGACCTCATTTCAGCAAGGGATGACGGGAGGGCCGAGCTTTAGGCCATCGTGGCTGGCCTCGAAGGCTTTGAACACACCATGCCATGCAAGTGAGACTCAGGCTCTTCCTGCAATCTACTTTCCGAAGCCATCCGATGCATCTGCTCTCTTCTCAGCCCACCAAGGAGTCCCCCGAGCTTCAGGCGCCGGTGGTATCGAAGGACCAGACGAGTTTGGGCTCGAAAACGTCCAAGCTCTCCTCGTCTCGGGTTTTAGGGTTTGGGATGGTTTAGGCGACATAGGGTTTAGGGTAGCAGCTTCAAGAGTAGAGCTTCATGAAGAAGTGCTCTGCCTGGATGGCCAGCTGTCCGTGTTGCTTCGGGATGTGGCTGTCTACTCAACGAAGATTGAGTACCTCGTGTTCTATATGCATATTATGGCAAACCCGGGCGGAAAGGTTGAGGTCAAAGTCGAATGCTGTGATGTACCGAACAAGGTGCTTGGATACAGAGGGGAGGAGAGCAGGTAACAAACAGGGGCGTTGCGAATGCAGCAAGAGACTTGGCAGCCAGGACAAGACACAACACTGCCCGAGAAGGTAGGTCGGGGAAGAGGGGGGGGAGCGACGCAGCCAAGCAAGACGGAAAGCAGGAAGGAAGAAGGAAGAGAGGCACGGGAGGTGGCACTGTCACCCCACAGTGGGGCCAGGAAGGTGGGTGCTCCTCGACAGGGCGATACCCGTCTTAGTGCCGCAATGCTCCGTTGGCAGGCATCATAGGTTTCACAGTCGTCACAGTCGTCGCGGTCGTCGTGGTAGCCGTAGCAGGCGTAACAGTCGAAGCAGCGATAGTTACGAAAGAGCAGCGGCAGTACCTGTATGCAGCAGTAGTAGCAGTTAGTAGGAGGAGAAGTAGTAGCAGTAGCAGTGGCTTTGGCAGTGGCGGCAGCAGCAGCAGCAGTACCAGTACCAGTACCAGTACCAGTACCAGTACCAGCACCAGCACCAGCACCAGCACCAGCACCAGCACCAGCACCAGCACCAGCACCAGCAGCAGTAGCAGTAGCAGTAGCAGTAGCAGTAGCAGTAGCAGTAGCAGCAGCAGTACAGCAGCAGGAGCAGGAGCAGGAGCAGGAGCAGGAGCAGGAGCAGGAGCAGGAGCAGCAGCCGTCGTCGTCCTCATAGTCGTACTAGTCGTACTAGTCTTACTAGTAGTAGCAGTAGTAGCAGAGTAGTAGCAGTAGCAGTAGCAGTAGCAGTAGCAGTAGCAGTAGCAGTAGCAGCAGCAGCAGCAGTAGCAGTAGCAGTAGCAGTAGCAGTAGCAGTAGCAGTAGCAGTAGCAGTAGCAGTAGCAGTAGCAGTAGCAGTAGCAGTAGCAGTAGCAGTAGCAGTAGCAGCAGTAGTAGTAGTAGAAGAAGCAGAAGTAGCAGTAGAAGTTGAAGTTGCAGTAATAGGACTTTTGGTAGGAGTCGGCGTCGTCGCCGTCGTCGTCTTAGCTGTTGTAGTAGTCGTGTTACAGTGGCAACGATGCAAGTAGTACTTTGTGGATCTACTGTGCTGCCTACTCCGTATGATTATTCTTGTTGCCGAAAATTTGTCATCCCGAATAGGCCCCTGGCTCGCCGAGGCTCTGGAAATCCAAGCCTGCCGGAGTCGCCGGCACCCCACATGTAGACACGGCCTCGCTTGTCGATAGCGCCACTGTGGGCTTCACCACCGGCAACAATAGCCATTCGGTTCTCATGCCTCGGAACCATGTGCTTATGCTTCAGAGGAAAAAGCAGCCGTGTGAAAGGTGGCTGAGACGGATTTCGTGGCCAAGCCGCGTTATCTCGATGTCCATAGGGGCACGACAGTCGTCGCTTTGGGATGTGCCCAAGCGGCCATTGCGGCCGTTGCCCCATGAGAACACCTGTGGTTTTCCGGTTCTGGCTGGCCAAAGGCAACAAATTCCACGGAATCCAACCCACATCACTGGCCAAGCCGCCACCCCGTCGATAATGGCCAGGGAGTGCTGTGCCCCGGCAGCCATATGACCAACCATGGCATGGTCCTGCAATGACTCTTGAAATCTTGGGGTGGAGGGGCAGGTGATGGAAGAATGACTGGATGTGGCAGCAGTAGTACTAGTAGTGGTGGTAGTGGTGGTGGTGGTAGTAGTAGTAGGTAGTAGCAGTAGCAGTAGCAGTAGCAGTAGTAGTAGTAGTAGTAGTAGTAGTAGCAGTAGCAGTAGCAGTAGCAGTAGCAGTAGCAGTAGCAGTAGCAGTAGCAGTAGCAGTAGCAGTCGTAGTAGTAAGAATAGGAGTAAGAGTATGTAAGAGTAAGAGTATGTTAGGAGTAGCAACAGCAGCAGGCCTTGGGCAGATGCACTCTCGTCGGCTTCCGATGCCAGGCCGCAGAGGAGCCCGTGCCACACTGGCCGTGGCTGTTGACGCCCCAAGCATAAACATGTCCATCCTTGGGAGCAAGAACACTCCAACTGTTTAGGGTTTGGGGTTTAACTCGAACTAGGATCGCAGGAGCAGATGATGTGAATGTAATGCTTGGGGGCGATGCACACCACTCACAATCACTGTCTGGGGCAAGCTCAGGCTACTGCAACAGCAATGGCCTGGCCGCATTAGCGAAAACCACGAACAGGCGATCCAGCATCTCTCTACCACAACAAGGAAGCATGATGATTAACACACTTCCTTCGAGGGGCCGTGGCCAGACACAGTGTGTGGTCTGCCCCGCAGGCGATGTGCAGCGCACGCGTCCCGGAGGTCCAGGGGAACATCGTCTTAATGGCCCCGCTGCGCGACCACCTCAGAATCGGCGAAAGCAAGCTAGACGCATCTAGCAAGACGGCTCCTGATGAACAGGAATCTCTATGTTACCGTAACGAGCGTGACTCAGCACAGTTGGAGGTAGGTCATGAATATTTTGCCGATGTTGAAAGCTTCACGAATCAGAGCATGCAGGCGTGCTGTTATCAGTGGAACCAGATGCTGTCAAAATCATGGTCCCTCATCATCGGCGTGCAACCCATGCATCCCCAAGCACCCGAACCCCGCAGACCACATTTCGAAGCTCTGACAACAACAAACCAACTGTTGATCGCGGTGCCATATGTCCAGCTCCACCATCTCTTGATCGTCCTCCTCTCTGCCACCTGGTGGAGTGCTGTCGGGGTTGGGCTTCTACGGGAATGCATGCAGCAAGGTACAGCACGGGGATTGGACACTTGAAATCCTTTGCTCCAGGCCGTGCAGTACTCGGAGCCCCAGTGCTAGGCATCCGGGCCTGACAGGCTACCCGGCCCTACGCCGAGACGTCCCTGATTTCCGAGGCCCGTCGTGTAGACTTCCTTGGACCCAGAGGTGGTGCAAGGGGCCCTAAGTAGGGCCCCAAATAAGCACATAATTGGGATAGGCATGTCCCATATAACCCCCCTCATTATGAAGCCCAATGAGGTCGGGATGTCCCTTTAAAATGCTCATGCTTATGTCCTTCTTGGGTCCCTAACTAAGGCTCTAAGACTTCTAGCTGAACCGCTTGGGCAGCTCAACTGGCCTCAAGGGTGACTAAGTCCACCGGCTGCATTTCAAGCCAAGGGTAACCTAGCACAACCAACTCAAGTTGTCCATCGAGCTTTCAGCAAGTCACGTACCCGAAGGCATCGGAGGATTGGTTCTTCTTCAGAAACACCGTGTGGTTCGTTCCGCAATGCACCTCGCATGCAGAAGGAGGTTTGCCGACGCCATGCCTAACCGCACAGCAACGATTAGCCATAGATACATGACGCAGCAATGCAGGAAAAATGCAATAGTACACCATAAATGAGCTTACGTGTTTAGTTCTATACTCGGCAGATAGATCATGGATAGACTGCATGTATATCAAGTGTCAGCACAACGGGCGACGACTTCTCAAACGTAAAGCAGTGAAAACGCTACCCAACTTGCATTTAGGAACAGCACTGAACACAACAGAATATGAGAGGGTCGAGTTCGGCGGAAGCACTGCGCAGCTCCTCAGTGAAACGTGACTGACTCCTGCACACTCGGTCTTCATCTCTTCTTCTTCTTACGTGCAGGCTAATAACCTGGACAGTTAGCTTGTTGATGTTCGAAAACACGTTGTCAGGAATTGGATTAACGTAGATAGCACCGCCAGGATGTGTATTCTGGTCGCTGATGCAAACGTAACGATGATACACCGTCTACGTCCCCGAAATCATTTAAGCTGGATTGCCTCGTGGATGTCGTTCCCAAATTTGCCCTTGCGCTTTGGCTGGAGCTGGCGTTTTCCTTCTGGGTCCTGAGAAGCAGCAGTTGCTCAATCCAAGAGTTGAGATGTTGCAAATAGTACCTCCCGGGGTTAACATCCACAGCCACAACCTGTCAGACCAGAAAGCGGCTCAGTCCCTCTGAACAAACCCTCAAACCCAAAACCCTAAACTCCACTCTCAACCCTAAACCCTGCACCCCAAACCCCTAAACCTTAAATCGTAAACCCTAAACCCCTAAACTCCTAACCCCTAAACCCTAAAACCCTAAACCCCTAAACCTTGAACCCCTAAACCCCTGAACCCCCGAACCCTAAACCGTAAGCCCCGAGAGATCCGCAGGCCTGTTCCTCTGCCCTGGCCCGATCATCCGATTTGGACTTCTGGCCATGGACATTGTACCTCACTTGGGAGTTTCCGAAAATTAGGGGTTCCTTTAAAGGGATCCTTAAAGGGATCTATAAGGGTTCTATAAAGGACATTGTACGTTACTTGGCCTTATCAGGGTTCTATAAAAGGACATTGTACCTTACTTAGAGGCCCAAGGGGACTTAGTGAGTAGGAGGGTTCCTTAAAGTGGGACCTAAAAGGGTTCCTTTAACGGGCTCTATCAGGGTTCATGGACATTGTACCTCACTTGGGAGTTTCCGACAAACGGCATCTTTTAAGGGTTCCTTAAAGAGGGATCTACCAGGGTTCATAAGGGGGGGGGATTCTGGCTACTGAGAGCCCCAGGGGACTTGGTAAGTAGGAAGGCTCCTTCAAGGGTTTCTTAAGAAGGGATCTATAAGGGTTCTATAAAGGGACATTTTACCTTACTTGAGCGTTTCCGAAAATTAGGGGTTCCTTTAAAGGGATCTATCAGGGTTCTATAATGATGGTTACTTTGAGCACCAGGGGACTTAGTGAGTAGGTTATAAGTTACCCCAGCTATCTACTTATAACCGACTTGCTGAGTCCCCTGGGCCTCCCAGTATAGCTACTTGAGGGCTCCGGCTTGAAGTTTAGAGGTTAGGTGTTTGTTTATCGAACCCTTGTTGTCTGCATGACATACGTCTAGGATGGCTTTACCGGCAGAGTCAATCGCAGGAGTTTTCGGGCTAGGGCTGCGGCTGTGTGATTCAAGAGATTGGGGCCTAGCACTGTATCGGGATTCTACTCCAGTGCCTAACTCATTCGGGCCTGCCTGAACGAAAAGACATGCCACACAAAAACAGACACCTAGACCCGGAATTTCCATGGCGCAAAGCACGGTAGCAGTCATTGAACGCTCTTCCCCGGGATTGCATGCAATCATGCGAAAGGTACAGATCTACATCCATTACATATGTATGTGTTTATGTAGGTATGTATATTCGTGTGTCTGTACGTATCTCTATGCAAACTGACGTGTGCGTATCCATGTGTGTAATCGTTGTACATACGCATGCATGTGTGACCAATGAATATGTATGCACATGCGCACACGTCGCGTAGGGCTTTGATTCTGTCCCTGTTCTAGCAGCTCACACTGCCTGCTTTGACCACCGGGGCATGTTATCTCAACGTTCCTCTCCCAACTTTACACCATCCTCCAAGCGCAACCCCGTCGTGATGCCACTGCGCAGCTCATGTTGTATGCTGCAAGCGCGCTCGCACGTCGTCATTCTGTCAGTGGCACGGCTAGCAGGCTTGACAATGGAAGGCCCTGTGCAGGGATGGCATGTTCGCTGGGCGTGATGCTTCGTGACCGAAAGTTTCTGGGACGTCAAGCTTGCAAAAAGCCTGTGGCTTGGCAGCGCTCTCAGGGCCCAGTGGTTTCTGTAGCAGCTCGCCGGCATTCCCCACTCCGTCACCCCCCCAGTAAGGCACACTTTCTGCTGGAAAACCAAACAGGCGACTGAGGTCTTGCCGCAGCAACTCTCTGTTTGCTTTCTGTGTGTTTTTTGCACAGCGAACGTTTAGGAATATTTTTGACATCAACTAAGATAGGTAACAGAATACGAAAATGCAATTAAAAACCATAAAAAAATATTAAACTCATGCTAAATTACAAGGACTCCTCCAAGACTGTCCAAGGCACTGGTTGCGGCCCCAAACCCAGGCCTCGGTTGCTGGCAACCGTTTTTCGCAAGCACTCCACTCGATGCCCCGGAGTCGTAAACTCTAACTGCCCATCTTCCTCCAAGAAGCGAACTAATTGAACCAAAACCCTGTGCCGATTTACGATCGAAATTATGAGTGCATGATGGTCGTCTGCTGGCTGCTCCTATGTTCACGTTTCTGCTGGTGCTGGTGCTCAGACCCAATCACGAAACCCGCGTGGCACCTCGCTTTCTCGGCTGATGGCCGCGGAATGGTAGAAGCCACACGCCTTTGCCGGGAGACAGGCAAGTCGGGCATCAGGGAATCGATCCGAATCTCCCCTTCACGGTCTGGGTTTCCAGGGTTTGGGGTTAAGCAGATAGAGCTTCAAAACATTCTCGACCCTTTGAGCTTGAGGGTTTAGGCTTTAGGACCGTAGGAGTTACCGGTTTAGGGGTCCTGCCTCCTGAACTCAGCTCTGCTGCACGTCGCTCTCGAGACTTTTCGGATAGAAGAGCTCACCACAAGGGTAGCAAAAGTTCCCTAGGAGGCGTTTTTCAAACAGTTCATCACAATTGCAAAAGAGTGATTTAGAACAACCCACCGCTTCAGCCCTCGATTTGAGATCCAAAAGTTAAAATCGCCTTTACAAGTTTTGCTACCTCTGGTACTGCGTGGCTCATGCGAGTGGATTGCACACTACAGCTCAGAATTTGGGGCTTCGGGTTGCTGGCAAGGGCTTGAGGGTCACATCTTCGCCAACCGGTCCCGGTCCCGGCGAAGAAGGTGCTGAGTGCTGCCGCAGCACTATTCGCTGCGGCTTCTCCACCCATGCATCTTTGGGGACCTGCGAAGTGTGAGGCGCAGGGGTCACGGAGTCTTGAAGCACGCAGACTAGACATATACTTCATATATCGGATGGTCAAGCTCACTGGACCCTGCAACACGTAGCGCTCTGGTAATATTGTAGAGCAGATGGTTGAATTACAAGTTACAAGTACTTTAAGCTAATTCATGCTGAGGAGTATCAGATACCTTCGACGACCCTGCGATTTGGGGGCTGAGGGCAGCTCACTACCCGGGCAAATACTAATCAGTGTTGCAGCTTAACATACTCCGCGCTCACCACGATGTAGCATCTGTCAAGGATTTACCACACAGAACCTCAAGGAATGAACAAGCAAACACATGGTGGGATCCATTGGTCCAACAAGCATTCCCCCAAACAGCCTGGCTGAGGATGTCTTTGGCAACGCTTTCCGATTTGCTCTAGAACATGCCGGATCTGTTTTCGGAATGCTTACGTTTCAAAAAGCGCTCCGGAAAGATAGATGCCGTGCTTGACGGCGCCGAGTACGAAATGCTTCTGTGGAACTTCGGAGAAACACCTTCGCTGCCAGGCCTAGCCCATGGTTTGCATATGCTTCCAGAATCTTTTGAACAATGCTGAAGCGACGCCACTTTGGGGATATGGCCTTTAGCACCCTTTCAGCCACTATGATTACGTCGTGGTATATATGCCGTGGTGTCGCACTAGAGATCATGCTCGAGAACAGGTGTCTCTAGCTGCTTAAAACCCGCCACGCCTGCACACCATCACCTGTGACAGACAACGCTGGTCTCGACATCCAAGAGAGTGAAACTTTGTGAGCCCAAGTCGGGTGTGAAACACTGGAAAATCTAAAGCACACAGCTCCACGAGCTGCTTGTACGACGCAAGATATGTAAGCAAACACCGAAGATCGAATGTCTGGACTCATGGAACGATGCACAGGACAAACGTTGGACCAACATGCCACTACTAAATGACTAAGTGCTCCTACCTGTGTTTGTAACAGGCAGGTAAGCCAGCTGCTGCAAATACAACCCATTTCCATCTGGGCAGCACGGCTGCAGTGATGTAGACTCTACCAGTCCTAGTAGTAGAAGTAGTAGTAGTAGTAGCAGCAGTAGTAGTAGCAGTAGTAGTAGCAGTACAGGTAGGAGTAGGAAGACTCACACACCGCACGCCAGCAGTTGTTTTCTTCTCCTTGCCGTCTACAGTCCAGAGGGGCCGACGAAAAATCCACGTATGAGACTTGACTCCTGAGCTGTGGCTTGGGACCGATGGGGATGCAAGAGCTTCGCGACACCAAAAACATGCATGACTGCAACTGGAAGCACTGCCCTCAACGTTTTGTGAATACGATGCATATGGGGTAGCACGCAAACATCAAGTCATTTCACGTGGAAGCGCGTTCCATCCTGCAACGTCGTCTCATCTGTTGCTGATCTGCTTTCCGTGATGCTATCTGAACTTGTGCCATAGCATGTGTTACTTCCGCCTTGGCATGCACCTGTCTGTGGAGTCCCATGTCGCTCACACGGCAGTTCGTTACAACGAAATCATGATCGTCGCCACAACTGTAGAAGGAACCATCTAGGTTGCCCATTTTCTCCTACAGTCTTGTCAAGAACGCTTTCATTTTGTCATGCGAGCTTTTTGTGTGCAGCTTTACAGTATTGTGTTGCACCAGCTCAGATTTTCAGGTTGCCACAACCTGTAAGCGGCTTCATGGTGCTCCATGATTAAACAAAAGTGATTTTTAGGCATCCGTCAGGCTGCAAACCAACTTGCGGTGCGACGTTTCAAGTTGAACCTGTGTGTATGCCGTCAGCATCTTACGGACAGTCTATGCATGAGTGCACGATTGCAAACGCATGCAGAGAGAGACCGACGGCATCATGCAGCATGCGCGAGGACGTCTTTGCAAAAAAGTTCAGTGCGCGGGATGATGTACGATAAACAGCGGGACGGAGTGGAATAGTCAGGGAGTATCAGACAAACGGGTAAAACACGCACGTGGGGGCACCGACCAGACCCATCTACATTCATAGATTCATTCATCACTACAACGGCTCAGTTCTCATAGACACAAAGACACACAGAAACAGAGATCGAGGTTCACACCCGCACACACACACACACACCCACACACACACACACACACGTCCAGGTGCTGCACCAAAGTCCCAGACGTGACTCAGAAGTCCAAGTCTTCGGCCTGGCTTTGATCCAATCAAGCTACGGCTGTCGCCATTCGCATTCTTTGCATGACGTGCATCTTTCCAGTATGAGTTGCACCATCCTGATTGAATCCTCATCCCAGTCGGCGAAAGTGATCATCAGAGTCAAGACTGTGCTTATCGGTTTCGAACACGAGCCGAACCCATGCTGCGAAACAGGAGTTTATGCAGCAAGGCTCCGAAAGGCTCGGGCATTGTCGGGAAATACCTTAGAAACATGATGTGCGCTGCAGGTCGCAAGCTGAAAGCTGGTCAGCGGAACGTCGTGTGCCGCTGCTGAACCCCGGATCCGAAAGACCTCCGAAAAGCCAAGTTCTGCCTCCTTCGGAGCTTCTTTTGCAGCCTCCTTTGGTGCCTCCTTGCCCTCGCGGCTGCGGCTCGCCTGTTCAAGACTCCGCATTGTTTAGCAGATTGTTGTTGGACGGAGGGTCTCCGAGCCCTTTACAGCATCCAAGGTCTGTCATCATCGGAACATTCGCACACTCATCGAGATCTTCTTTCACTTGGACATCATCTTAAGCATCGACGCACAACAGTACAGATCTGGGTTGAGTTCTTTCTAGCAGCCCCGTGAAGTTGTAAGGTAGCACATATCTGTCGTCATCGCTGGACGTGCACAACGCAGACTATTGCAGTCATCAGACGATGCCTGCGCAAGGCTTACTCAAGGTCGGGCGTCAGTAAAGATCTTGGTTGAGTTCTTTCTCACCGCTCCGTGAAGCTCTAAAGTAGCAAATATCGGTCGTCATAACTTGCCCTTCGCAAGACGAGCTCAAGGACATGCAACATTGCCAAGCAACCCACCAAGCTCTACAGTAGCAACAACTATGGTGTGAACTCTGCATGGTGACAATCTTCCACACTCCGCCAAGCGCTCACGATCGACCGTTCCCAAGCCGACCGATGTGCCACAATGCCAGAATTAGACTCACTCAAGAACGGGAGTCAGTACAGATCTTGGTTGAGTTCTTTCTCACAGCTCCGTGAAGCTCTAAAGTAGCAAATATCAGTCGTCATCACTGGCCCTTCGCAAGACGAGCTCAAGGACATGCAACATTGCCAGCACAACCCACCAAGTTCTACGGTAGCAACAACTATGGTGTGAACTCTGCATGGTCACAATCTTCCACATTGACGTCTCCGCCAAGCGCTCACGATCGACCGTTCTCAAGCCGACCGATGTGCCACAATGCCAGAATTAGACTCACTCAAGAACGGGAGTCAGTACAGATCTTGGTTGAGTTCTTTCTCACCGCTCCGTGAAGCTCTAAAGTAGCAAATATCAGTCGTCATCACTGGCCCTTCGCAAGACGAGCTCAAAAGGACCCAACACCGTTCACCACCACCTCTAGAAAGGATGCATATACAGATTCTGAGTAAAACCTTCCTCATCCACCAAGTTCTACAGTAGCAACACGGTGTGAACTCTGCATGGTCAGAAGCTTTCGCGCCCTTGACCGACCGTTCGTAAGCCGACCGATGTGCCACAATGCTAGAGTTAAACTCACTCAAGAACGGGTGTCAGTACAGATCTTGGTTGAGTTCTTTCTCACCGCTCCGTGAAGCTCTAAAGTAGCAAATATCAGTCGTCATCACTGGCCCTTCGCAAGACGAGCTCAAGGACGTGCAACTTTGCAAAGGCCACAACACAGTGCAAGACACCTTCCAAATGGATGCCTGCGCTGGACCTGGCCAAAAGATTCCTCAAGTTGTCGTTAAGTTCGACAGCACCACAACGCCAATGCTAGGCTCACTCAAGAAGGGGCGTCAGTACAGATCTTGGTTGAGTTCTTTCTCACAGCTTCATGAAGCTCTAAAGTAGCAAATATCAGTCGTCATCACTGGCCCTTCGCAAGACGAGCTCAAGGACGTGCAACTTTGCAAAGGCCACACCACAGTGCACGACACCTTCCAAATGGATGCCTGCGCTGGACCTGGCCAAAAGATTCCTCAAGTTGTCGTTAAGTTCGACAGCACCACAACGCCAATGCTAGGCTCACTCAAGAAGGGGCGTCAGTACAGATCTTGGTTGAGTTCTTTCTCACAGCTTCATGAAGCTCTAAAGTAGCAAATATCAGTCGTCATCACTTAGATCAAGGAAATGTAATCGTGCCAACACAACACCGTTCACCACCCCTTCGAGAACGGATACCGTGTGGTCTCTGCAGGTCCTGGTCAATATCTTGACATTGGCGTGTCCGCCAAGCGCTCACGATCGACCGGTCAAAAGCCGACTGATGTGCCGCAACGCCAACTCAAGAACGGGCATCAGTACAGATCTTGGTTGAGTTCTTTCTCACAGCTCCGTAGAGCTCTAAAGTAGCAAATATCAGTCGTCATCACTGGCCGTTCGCAAGACGAGCTCAAGGACACGCAATGTTGCCCACACCACAACAGAGTGAAACACCTCTTGTCCTGGCCAACAGCTTCCTCATGTCATCGCGAAGTTCAAGAGTAGCAACAAACAGGCATCACCGACCGTTCGCAAGCCGACCGATGTGCCACAATGCCAACATATGCCAACGATCGGCTTACGCGAGGACGAGCGTCAGTACAGATCTTGGTTGATGTCTTTCTCACAGCTCCGTAGAGCTCTAAAGTAGCAAATATCAGTCGTCATCACTGGCCCGCAACACATTGTTACACTGTCAAGCACTTTCGGTTGGACGTAGGCTCCAGAGCCAAATACATGGATCGCACTGCAGAAACCGTGGCAAGGTGCGAGCCAATTGCTTCAAAGCATTCACTGCACCCTTGGCCCTGAGATGCCCTGAGGATCTTCCGGCCCTGGTGCTTGCATTGCCTGTGCTGCTTCGTAGGCCGTTTGGACCAGTTACGATCCCTCCGATGCCTCGCGGCGTGCCCGGTAGGAAGACCCGCGAGGCCTCAGGTTCTAGGGCGCAGGGCTTCGGGGCCCTATACCCTAAACCCCAAGGTTTAGGGACTTTAGGGCGCCGGGACCTGCCCTCCACGGCTTCGAGGAAGCTCTGTCTGCTTTGAGATCCTGGCTGAGCGGCGGCATCTGGACCTCCCAGCAGCGGCAGAAATTGCCCCCACCTCCGGCCCTGCTTCTATCTGCGCATACTCCTCCTCCACCCCGTACGGCTCAATGCTTCTGGGTGTTTAAACCTGCTTGAAACTGCTTTCTACTGTATGAAGGTTTGTATGGTGATGCCGCTGGTAATGATTGCTCTTGTTAGCGTTGTGAGGATGATGAAGATTGTGAAAACGAGGACGATGACGATGAAAACGACGATGACGATGACGAGGGTGACGGTGATTTTGATGACGACGACGACAGTAATCAAGTCCCAAAACGTCACTCGTCACAACATGACGGTCATCACGACTCACTGTGGCAGCCGTTATCGCCATCACCATCGCAATAATCGTCCGCATCATCAACGGCAGAAACACAAGCAGCATGTCGCTAGGCATGTACTTATCAAGTCTATGTATTGCTTGCAATGATGAACATCCTCAGAACTACTAGCAGCAAAAACATCAGCACAACATAGCACGGTGCCATGTTGATGGACTTTACGCCAGCTTGATCAGTATGTCGGTGGTGGCGGCATCGTGGCGGTGGTGGCTGTTTCTCTCATACTGGCCTCCCACCTCCAATTATGCATGGCTTTGAGAGACATTTGTTCTTAGCAAACACGAGCCGGTCTCTGGTAAATTCTGATCTTTCTCCTCCCGCGGAGATTGGAATGCATTTGGCTAAGCACCCCACTTGCTGCATCGGCAGACACCGGGGACCTGAGTCGTTTGCACAGGTCGCGGGAGGCTTTCAAGAATCAGGGCTGGAGGCGCAAAGATCAACACTTTGATTAAAACAGCTATTATGTGTGACATGCCAGTGTCGCGTTGCACCTTTGCTTCATTCCCACGGCTGTCAGACTCTGCACGGAAGCTGCAAACTCAATGGAGCCTGTCCGAAGATCGAAGATGCGGCAGATGTTATGAAGCTTCTGATGTCATCCTCTGGCACCACCATGTCTCCGACTCTCCTTAACAATTGAGACGCCCGCTCGGAAGCACCGGCAGTTTGGCCACCGCCACCGCCGCCGCCGCGCCGCCCCTGCATTGAAACATGTGGGTTTCAGCTTGAACTTTGAAGACCCTGCTTCAACCAGTCACCCAGGACTTCGTGTTGAGGGGTCAGTCTAGGAGTGTTTCAGAACTCATGCCGGAATCTGTGATGCCAAGAGAGGTGTAGACGAAGCAAGTCACTGCCAAGCCCCCATCCATGAATGCGACGGCCTCCTACCCTCTCACTGTTTCGCCTGTGCGCTCAGTCTCAGTTGCCTGCTTAGCCTCCTCCCGAAAAACTGGGACCGACACCCCATAGCCGGGCGATGCCCCCGGCTTCAGCGTCGCTGACGCCTCCGCACCTTTTGGAGTTTCGGGTGCGGGCTCTGGGCGGACCATGTTATTCGGCTGATCCTTTGGCATGACTGATGTTTTACTTGTTCAAGGCCATCACTGGTCTCGTTTTCCGTACTGCTCACCGCATTTGTGCATGCTTGCAGCGGCAACGGCCGTATCACCTCGTCGTAGAACTTGCAGTCTGTATAAGTACAAAGGTCAGGGAACCTTAATATTGCCTTGTGCTTGCTGCTAACTCTACCTCTCCCCTTTGATCCTTTTGTTATGTAGGCTTGGGACTTGCGCTCCAAATGATCAAGGATCCCCCACCATGCAGCACTTCATAAGATCCTGTGCCTCTGTACCAGTTAACCGGACATCAGAAACCTCCCGAACTCCTCGAAAGCTAAACCCTTAGCCCTCACCGCCACGAGACTTTTCGACAGGATTTCCAGAAGAACGACTGAGATAGTCGTCTCAAGAACGCATGACTTTTCGTGGATCACGCCGGCCTTTGAACGTCGTCGGAGGACCGTGAGATACCGTGAGTCATGTCTATCCGAACGAGTAACAGGGAGGAAGCTGCCGACAGAACGCCCTCCCATGGCGTGTGCCTTCGGAGGGACTCGGGCTGCTCCGCTCGTTGGACTGCAGAGGCGCAAGTTGCGTCTGTGGGCTTCGAAGGCCACTCTAATGCTGCGGTTCTTTTGCAACGAAGATCCCCGCAGAGAACAAGGAGTGCACTGGTTTGAGCACCCGAAGAAAGGAGCATGATTCGGATTCGGGGTCGCCAGGGCTCCCGGACTCAGGCTGCGTGTTCCGTTAGGGAAGTAACATACACACGTAGTGAAGCTTAGCCAGCTTCCTGCCCCAGTCGCCGTGCAATGCTGAACGCACCCTGAACCCGAAGCACGCGTGATCTTCAAGTCACCCAGTTCGGCCTTGCTCCTGCGCTCCCGGTAGCTGGACCTTCTGCCAGCCTCATCCGCCCTCGGCGTCCGGAGATAAACGCTGTCTCGGCAGGTTTGTTGTTGGCGCAATAGAGGGCACTAGTCATCATCGTAGCCGTCAGGCTGGTATCCATGAAAGCAGCGGGAGTGTACCCGAAGAAGTGGTGATGGTAGTGTCAATACCAGCATATTAACTTAGCGGCGAAGTAGCAACGGCAGCGGTTTTAGAAGTAGCAGCAGCAGCAGCAGCAGCAGGAGACAGCAGAAGCAGCAGTAGCAGGTGCGGAGGCAGAAGCAGTCGCAGAAGCTGTAGGAGACTCCCTTCAAACGTCTGCAGCATATATCAAAACCACATCGAGGACGGTGCCCTCCGCTGCGGCCTGGCATCGGCTTGGGAGACTTAAAACAGTAACACAGCATGCAGCCCGAGGCTCTGCCATGTCCGAACCCCGAAACTGCCTGCTTTGGCATCGCGGTCGCTTGGGGCCTGGCTTTTGCTGCAGCACGAAGGTACAAAGCGTCTCTCTCGGGAAGGTGGAGGTGACATACGGTCTCTAGTCGCACCAGCAAAACGAGTGTCTCTCTCTCGCTCTCTCTTCATCCATCCATCTATACTAACCTACCCTGTCTGTCTACTCTGTGTGTCTGTCTATCTAATCTACCTGCCTATGTAGCATACGCACGGTTGAGGATATTGATTCCAAGCAAGCTTCCCGAGGCGCACCTCGGCTGGAGCCTCGAGCTTGGAGGAACGCAGGTTCTTCTTGTAGCCCTTGTTCACGGTCTGAGCAGCGCCCAAATTGCAGGTTCAGTGGTAAACGGTTTCGTGGACTGGGGTGCAGGGGTAACAGAAGTACCACACAGGGGCATCATGGGCATTGAAACTCCTACAACTGCCTCCAGTATTGCTGCTACTTCCCTTATTCCTCCGACTTCTCTTTCTACCCGACCGCCACCGGTACTGCGACGACGACTGCTACAACTGTCCTGCTCTTCCTACTACTAAGTATTGCTTCTAGAGGGTAACCTATTCTTGCACCAGCCTGTGCGTCCATCGACTTTCGGCGCTCGTCTTCGGCAGATGACCGCCGGTCTTTGCCTCCGGCATTGACCACATGGTAAGAGAAAGCCCGCTTCGCGCAAGTCTATAAGCATACGGATGACACACTGGCCGACCATCTGGAACGAGTTGGTGTTGAGGACTTGCGCGAGACACAAGCTGATTCCGACACGCGGAATGCCAGAAGTATGTGGTCTCATTGGCAAATGGCAGAACATGAAACAAGAAACAGCTCTTTGTAAAACTCAGCTTGACGGCCGCAACCAAGCTGGGCCTGAACGCCCTCAACCGCTCGGTCCTCAATCCCAATCGAACTAATCGAACCCTCTCGGTGCGAGGCCCAAGGACTGACGATCGGCTCTTTCCCTGAGCCGGAGTCAGAAGTGTCGTCACATCATAGCCATGGTCATAAGAGTGGTCGCAGGACTAGCTTTGGGTTAAGGGCTTCTCAGCAGGACGTTGGGAGGCTTGGAGACATTCTCGTGATCTGGAGAAGCGTACAGGGTTAAGATCACCGGCTTTGCAGCCCGGAGCTTTCGACGAAGGTTTATCCAGGTGTTGCACGGCCTGTAAGCAAAGTCCAGATGCCCAACACATGGCACTGGAAAATGTGCTCCCTCCCCAGCCGTAGCTACGTCTACATCACGACCACTCCTCGTTTCTCTCCCTAGGAAGCGGTAAGTCGCACGCCTCCATCTCTTGATGCCAAAGATGCCAGCCACCACCACAAGCACACCAATCACCTGCACAAAAGCTGAATAAGCTCATCCCCGGAGAACTCGTCTATAATAACAATACTGCTAATACTAATAATTATATTGTTATTCATAATAATAATGATAATAATGATAATAATGATAATACTGATAATAATACAGGGTGCTCCTGGATTCTACTAGTAGTCCATCTCAGGCTCGGACGGGCATCAGGAGCCAGGTAAGACCACCGCCGCCACCACTCCGCTCGGCCTGCAGGAGTGCTTTGGGCCTTGAGTATTTCGGGAGTTTGTGAGACTTCTGGGCAGGAGAATGGGAACTGCACCACATGAGTCCTCTCTCAAAATGTTTTCGCCAAATTACGGGCTTCAACGCTCTGTGGCTTTCGGGACGAGGCACTAGGCTTCGCAGTCCGCACTTGCACGTGATGAGCTTCTGGATCCGTGAGAGGGGCAACGGGGGACGGCGCAGGGGCACATGCAGGCAGATGGAGGGTCGCCTGGCCTGGGCCTGGGCTTGGGCTTCCTCTTTGCTGCCAGCCTTTCTCGTGTTGAATCGCATGATCTCTGACACCTTACGCCTGACTGCAGTCAATGCAGCAGCCCCCAACCCAGTGAGGGTGCGGCAGGAGGCGCGGCAGCCGAAACGATCCTGCAAGGGAAGCGAGGTGACAGCCGACCCTGAGTACTGGCCACCCATACACGGCAGCTGTCGAAGTATGAAGCTAAGCTCCGGGCACAGGCGGTGTCGCATTGGCTGAACTGGAATTTGACGCCTTTCCTTCTCCGTTCTTCTCCTTTTCCTCGGACTCTTTGGTGGTTCCTGCTACTGTGGTCGCTGCTGCAGTGGTGGCTGCTGCAGTTGTTGGCGCAGCGGTCGTGGCAGCTGCTGTCGTGGCGGCAGCTGTGGTGGGAGCCGGAGTGGTTGTAGATTTCTTCTCCTCGTCATCATCATTATCATCAGACGTGCCCATGGCGAAGGGAACATTGCCCTGACCCATGGACATGCCGTTTGCCATGCCCGTGGACATTCCACCCATTCCGGCAGCAGGGTTCATGACCTGTCAAAACGCAGAACGCTTGTCCATGCATGATTCTTCCCACTTCTAATATCTAACACTATCTACTTCTGCAGAATCTCCGCGAGGCAGACCGTTTAAAACATAAATCCGATGCAGCAGAACCCCTGGCAAAACTTGACGACGGTACCGCGGGCATCTGCTTCTCTTGGAGCAAGCTGCCATTTGCTGTGACCTGGCACCCGCTGAAAGTTGATCGGCTCCCGGGTTCTGCACTCTCCAAACCAGACAGTTTCCGAAAAGAAGGGGGTACCTTATTTTGGGGGTCCTTATAATAAAGATCCAACTATATAGGGTACTATATTAGTAGGGTCCCCTATTTCCGATCATCAGTTGTGATTAGCTGCCGCACTCCTGCACCCGCCAGGCCGCAAACGGAGTGCCATGAGGCCAGAGCGCCACATACAACGGTGTTCGCTATTGGCTCTAATTACTTCTGAACACTTTGCTCTTCTTTGACATGTGAAGCGCACAACAAGGAACTGCAACGGCACCTGCAACAGTAGAGCCCAGCCATCGTCAAACTGGGCGTCCTTTCGCATGAGCCGGGGGTTCCTGAGAGCAGTCCACGCATCTCAGGCTTTTGACTTCGGGAAGTCGGAGGTTGGGGCTTGGGTCGGGGGCCACGTTTCAGGGATTCGGATTTGGGATCCACCCGGGCTCTGGAAGGGCGCTGGCTTCAGCAAGGTTTGGCTTTCGTGTCCGGGGCCCGTGGCCCGTGGCTTAGGGTTGGGCGGAGCTTGCCGACTCAACTGCATCTACATCGAACGTGGTCATTGGGAAGCTTGAGGTGATACAACCTCCACATGTGCTGCTGTCGCTACACGTATCTATGCTTCGCAAGGGACCGGCTAAGGGCCAAGGGCCTCAAACAACGGAGACTTGCGGCCGCGTGCTCTAAGACTCTGATATCTTTCAGCCGCAAGTTTGCATCAACGACTTCGCTTGCCCAGCACTTGCGGCGAAGCGGACCGGACGGGGACGGGGCTCGACAGACCCTCGGCTGCCGGGATTCCCAAGTCGGAGAGGAACATGGACGCAGCGAAGTTGCAAGCGGCACGACCCAGCAGACTGAAGCTGCCGAACAGCATGAGGGCCCGCGACAGGGCGCAGGAGTCATCGCAGTCCGGGGCCAGGTTGAAGTCGCTCAGCTCACCAGCCAAGAAAGGACCGATGCCCATTCCAATCGACCAGCACGTCTCCAGGAGGCCTTGGGCGGTACCTCGCCGGCCTACACCCAGTCTCTGTACGACCGCCTGCACGCCCTGCCGGAAGCAGCCGACCACGACACCCAGGGCGGTGAAGAAGATCAGTACAGCAAAGGATGGCCCTAGGATGGCGGCGACGCCACACAGCATACCGAGCACATCGCCGAAGGTTGCAAACCAAAGGTTGACCCTGAGGTCGCCACGACGGCGGAAGACGCGATCGACCAGGTGCCCGATGACAAAGCTGCTTACCACCCCTGTAACGCCCAAGACGGGGCCCATGACAAGGCCGATCTGTGCTGCTTCCACACCGTGGCGGCGCTCGGTGAAGGCCGACAGGAAGCGACCCTGGCCAGAAAGCATTCCGGTGCATGTTGCGCCCAGCATCAGGAGCCTCAGAGGCCGCAGGGCTAGCAGCTGCCGGACGTCAGAGCAGACACCCTCCTTGGGAGGTCCCTCCTCTGCCTTTCGTGGCACCGTGAAGCAGAAGAGCAGTGCAACGATGACCTGCGGCGATGCGACGACCCAGAAAGCCCACCTCCAGCCACGGGACGTGACCAGAACTCCCCCAGCAGTAAAGCCCATAAGTCCACCGAGAGCACTGCCCGCATGGTAGTAGCCCATGGCCGTCGCCATCTCCTCGGCAGCAAAGTAATCGGAGAGCAGGGCCAAAGTCACAGGGTAGCCTGCGCAGTTCGCCACACCGGCGAGAAGGCGACAGAGCAAGGTGACCTCAAAGGACGGCGAGGAGCCGGTGGCAAAGGTCGCCACGGCCCAACCGAAGACTCCAGCACCAATGAGCCGAGCCCTTGGGACGTGGTCCGCAAGACGACCGACACAACCCGTGGCAAAAGGCACTATCCAAAGCGAGGCGGAGGCCAAGAGCCCCACTTGTGCGTCTGTCAACTTGAAATCCTCCTTCATGGACTCCATGGCGATAGACAGCACCGTGCGATCTAGCCATTCGCACATGACCATCATCGAGCAGCAAGCCAGCACCCAGTGCCGACGTTGGAAGCCGTCCTTGTAAAACCGTGATGTCTGCTTCTCCGACTTCTCCTCGGAGGCACTGGCCGCGGTGCTCGCAGAGGTGCTATGACTGCCCGGAGATGCCGCAGAGACCGCGCTGGGAAAGAGCTCCGCCCCCACCTCGTCTTCCTGCAACTTGGCATACTGCGCCTGGATCTCATACCAAAGCTTGCTGTCCTTAACCATGCCCACCTCATCTGTGAAGCTCTTCACAGAGAGGCCCACATCTCCATGGCCCGCAGATAGGCGTTGCCAGTACCTGTACCTTGCTTCCTGCCTGGAGGGTTGGACGACCCCTTTACAAGATCCAATTCGCATCAGAAAACCTCGAAAAGGTCAACCCATACCATCAAGATGCAAATCTGCAAATCATGGAGCCTATGGGGACAATGCTCGGCAGTCCTGAGCTAAACAAAAGTGATAGAGTCTTACAGAAACTTGGGCCGTTCCCCGTGTTTGCTCAAAGGGAGTTGGGAGTTTTTCTTTGTTATGATTGCAGCCGGTAACTCGAAAATCCCTGGCGCTGCGCCCTTGCGCGCTCTTGCACGAACACGGGCTTAAACACGTTCCTAACTTGCAAGCCAAGTATACACCCTTGTGTGCTCTTGCGGCGTGCCGGCTCTGGAGCAGGTCCTAAACCTGCATGACAATACTAAAGTGCGCTCTTAGTCTGCGGTACTAGGGATCAGAGCATCCCACACGCCCCTAAACCCTCAATCCCACCTTGCCTTTCGATGCCCTCCGACTTGTGCAGGGCCAAAGCAAGCACAGCCAGCCTGGTACACCCCAACACTCCAACACGAGCAAAGGCGATTACTTAAGGCTGTGCTCTTCAACCCAGCTCTCCACTCTGAATGCCGAAAGCTACGCGGAAGCCTCCGGATTCCTTCTGCCAATGGTCAGATTTTGCAGGGCCGGCCTGAGACGCCATGCTGCTGATCCTCTTGAGGCCTGCCAACGCCCGGATCTTTTGTACAAGCACATCACAGCGGGGCCTTAATAATCAGAATAGGGATGGCTTTCGGGGGGGGTATACTATACCATAGTTGTATTCCGGAACCCCCAGAATATTGCAGGGAATGACGACGGCTCCTATATCACAAGCACAACAGCTAGAAGCCGACCAGAAAAGGTGACCCCGAAGGCGCTGAACACCACGAAGCTTACCTACAGCCAGGAAGTCAGAGTCCTCAAGTCCCTCATACCCTAAAGCATCAATCGCAACCGATAACCCTCCACCCAAGGTGAAGCCATCAATCCCTGCAGCGACTTAGAAGCCTTAAAACGAAGCTTTCACCCCTTCTTCAAGAAACCTGAAAAAACGCAGACGAAAGCTGAGCCTTTGCAGCTTGGCCGATGTGGCTTCGCTCCGAAACATCACGATGGGGGTCTGGAGCACATTGCCTGCTTTGGGCACGTTTGGAGAAGAGGACGTGGGTTGAAGGATCTGGACTCAAAGAAACCCCCCCCTAAACCCTAAACCCCGAAACACACTCGAACTCCCAAGCCCCGAGCCGGTAGCTCCCTTACCTCGCCAAACCCAAAAAGCAGGCCAGGCCAGGTCCGCCTCAGCATGGGCTGCTCCTTGGCCTGGCAAAGTCATGGAAAAAGTACCTTTTTCGGGGTCCTGGTCTCCATGGTAGTTCCTTTTTTTGGTTATCCAATTTTATGGTTAGGGCCCTATAATAGAGATTTTGGTTAACCAAAAAAAGGAACTACAATGGAGACTATAGGTAGTATGGTCCAGCATACTGGAAGCCATTGAACCCCCGAAACCTCCAGCCCGCCCGAAAGGCATCCAACCTGTCTGTACACCCAATAGATGCTTCGACTCGGGAGAGACTGGTGGCTCTTTAAGATCCAGGGCAATCAACAGCTCCCCGGGCCAGCAGCCGGGCCTTTGCATGGATGTCTGGATTGGGTAAACCTGCGCGGCTTTGCCAAAGTCAAGACAACCTTTCGCTGACTCCCAATAAGGAATGAAAGACCCGCTCTTTCAAGACGAAGCAGCACGCACGGAGCTCAACGAAAGAATACTCGGAGCACCGACCTGCTCGTGGATGCCAAGCCGCCAGCCCGACACCACTGCCAGAGCTTGGGCCGTTGGCTGACTTTCTCACGAATCACGTGCATGTATGTACGCGTAGCTGTCATGTCAACGCAGAATGCTGTGGGACCGCAAACGGCAAAAACTATTCGAAGCACGCTTTTTCTTCAGTCCGTCCCCGGGATGCGTCAAACTCTTGTCTAGCCAGCTGCACACAAAAAAATGAGCTTCTCAGTAGGTGGCCACCTTCTTGGACTGGGCCAGGTAGTCGGTGAACTCCTGGAAAGGCGAGTTCGTGAAGCGAGTCGCCGTCCACAGATCCGGGGTGAGGTACCCGTACGTGGCCTTCAGTGCCTCGAACGTTGCCTTGGCGAAGTTTGCCGTCGTCCTGGTGTGTCCACAGGAGCAGGTGAAGCAGTCAGAGATGCCGGCGAAAGCCATCATCTTCTTCATGACTGGAGAGCCTACGATGCCGGAGCCGCGCGGAGCAGGGATCAGGCGCGCTCGCACTGAGCCGCACTTTCCGTGCACTTTCATTGGCACAGTGTGGGGCAAGCCGATCCTGTTACCCCAGAAACCTCGTCGGACCGGGATCAGGTTCAGCTTAGCAGCAATGATGCCGCCACGGATAGCTGTTGCCACCTCCTTCGCGCACTTGGAACCCAAACCGATGTGGCCGTTGGTGTCGCCCACCAAGACGTAGCACACAAATCTGTTGGTCTGACCGGCGGAGGTCATCTTCTGCACGGGGTGAATCTTCAGCACCTCGTCCTTCAAGCTTCCAGGAGGGTAGAAGTGATCAATGATCTCCGGCTCCTTGATGGGCAGGGAGTGCAGGTAGATCTCCTCCAGGTTGTTGATCTTATTGTCGTTCACGAGCCGTCCCAGCTTGGTCATCGGAACCCATTGCTTCTCCTCCTGCTTTCCCTTGCCCTTGCCCTTTCCCTTGCCCTTCTTGCCTTTGCCCTTCCCTTTGTCTCCAAAGCCTCCCTTGCCAAACCCGCCTTCTCCTCCCATGCGTCGCGGGCCTTGGCTGTAGGGGAGGGGCATTGTCTGGTTTCGGGTGTCTTCAATCAACATCAAAGAAGGAGGGAGGCATGCCGGAAACTTCAACAACGCAGGAACCATATACTGAGTACTGTATGCTCCGCATGACCTAAGCACCCCTCGTACACAATTTCACGAAAATCTCGAGAAACAACAGTAGAACGGCTGATGCCCGAGTGACCCCCTCCACACATTTCCGGAACAACATTGACATGTTGCTTACATCTCTTAAACTCAGCAGAATCCCAACTCTCTCTCACCTGCATGAAAGCCATCTGCGGAAAGCCCAACTCTGAACCAAACCCTTGACAGACTCGCAAGCACGATCAACACGAACCTCTCAAATCTCCAGACCACCAAGAGCTTCGAGATCTGAGCGGCTCTTCTGCTGGCTCTCAGGGCGTCGAAACTATATCGGGGATCAGGCTGAGCCCAGCCGCTTCGAGGAATCACTTTACACCCCACCCTCCATGCAAACCCTGCTCCCGCCCCGCCCCCCCCGCCCCGGTGGAAACAACTACGACTACAACGAAATCAAAGCCGCAGCAAAAGCCACGACGACGACGACGACTGTAAGAACGGGAAAGTTAGCAAATGCAAGTACATGAACGAGATTTGGGCCAGTTCTGGCAATGCTAGCAACGAGTGTCAAAAAGCATCGGGTGCTGCCACCATCATCAGCAACATCAGCAAAACGTTATCATCGACACCGTCATAGTGGTGCATGTCGTGGCTAGTGACGGCTGCTCGTATGTGTTTGACTCTGTTTTTGTCGCCTTCCCTACATGCGGCTATCACACCGTCACCCAGCTACGGGAAAAGCGCACACGAAGCAAATTCAATCAACCATTATGCAACAGTCAAGTCTTGAGCAACAACAAGGACACAAGAGCTGTGGATTTCACTGTCGCTGTCATTGCACTGCTGCTCGTACTGCTAGAGCCACCAACCAACATTAATGGCCCTCACACCTGTAAGCTATGGTCACAGCAACCGAAACAAAGACGGCAATTGCGAAAGTGACACTATTTCAGTGCTGCTCGTGCCAGAGACAGCACAGCGACACCACTAGGAAACAACAGTAGCAGCGCCAGTAACAGCATCGGCAATCAGCAGAGCCGCAACAACAACAGCAGCAGCAACAAACGGTAAGCATAGCAAACACTTCAGCACTTCATCACCACAATCGTCATCATTGCTAGCATTACTAGTAGTCGTAGTAGTCGTAGTAGTCGTAGTAGTCGTAGTCGTAGTCGTAGTAGTAGTAGTAGTAGCAGCAGCAGCAGTAGAAGTAGCATCAGTAGTAGTAGCAGCAGTAGTAGTAGTAGCAGCAGTAGTAATACAGTGTGTGGGGGGAAAAGAGGTCCGATATGCGACCAAGAACGTACGCGTCAATCTCTTTAATCTTGCTTGACACCAAAATCTTGCACCACTTGCACCGCTTGCGCGACTTGCACCACCGGGGGGGGGGGGGGGTGGCAGCGGGGGCATCCCGGGGAGCAAATTGCAAGATTAGCAAGATTGCCCCCCCTGCTCCGGCACAAGTGGTGCAAGTGGCACAAGTGGTGCACGCGGTGCAAGTGGCGCAAGATTGCAAGATTTGCAAAAGTAGCAAGACGTGCAAAATTTTGCTCCCAAACGGCCCGCTTCGTTTCCCAGCATAATGTCGTCGTAGTAGTAGTAGTAGTAGTAGTAGTAGTAGTAGTAGTAGTAGTAGTAGTAGTAGTAGTAGTAGTAGCAGCAGCCGTGGTGGTGGTGGTGGTGGCAGTAGTAGTAGTAGTAGTGGTAGTTGTCGTCGTGGTGGTGGTGGTGGTGGTAGTAGAAGTAGTAGTAGTAGTAGTAGTAGTAGTAGTAGTAGTAGTAGTAGTAGTAGTAGTAGTAGTAGTAGTAGTAGTAGTAGTAGTAGTGGTTCTAGTAGTAGTAGCAGCGGCAGCAGTAGTAGTGGTAGTGATAGTAGTAGTAGTAGTAGTAGTAGTAGTAGTAGCAGCAGCATTAGTAGTAGTAATAGTAGGAGTAGTAGCAGTAGTCGCAGCAGCAGCAGTAGATGGAAGTAGCAAACGCACCGGCAGTATCAGTAGATTCGTGAATCTTGTCGTAGCTGCTGCTGCGAATAACTCATATGGTCTGTGTCTGTGTTGTTACTCCTTCAGTCGTTGACTTTAACATGACCGCTGGTATCACTGCTTGAAATTAACATCACCGCTAGCTTATGCTGCCTTCAGCCTGAAAACGCAGCTTTCTTTCGTGGTTGATCTGATGCTTGCTATTCCGCATCAGGCTCGTCATCATTACATATCATTACCCTGGCGAATAACATCGAATCTGTGTGACCTCAGCTGAGACAAGCTCTTAGCAATTCGTGGACGGCATCAAGACGAACTGCTCAGCGGCTTTTCCTAGACTGCACGATATTGGGGCTCTCTGACGGGGTGAAAAGGGCTGCGGGCTCAGTAGGTGGCCACCTTCTTGGACTGGGCCAGGTAGTCGGTGAACTCCTGGAAAGGCGAGTTCGTGAAGCGAGTCGCCGTCCACAGATCCGGGGTGAGGTACCCGTACGTGGCCTTCAGTGCCTCGAACGTTGCCTTGGCGAAGTTTGCCGTCGTCCTGGTGTGTCCACAGGAGCAGGTGAAGCAGTCAGAGATGCCGGCGAAAGCCATCATCTTCTTCATGACTGGAGAGCCTACGATGCCGGAGCCGCGCGGAGCAGGGATCAGGCGCGCTCGCACTGAGCCGCACTTTCCGTGCACTTTCATTGGCACCGTGTGGGGCAAGCCGATCCTGTTACCCCAGAAACCTCGTCGGACCGGGATCAGGTTCAGCTTAGCAGCAATGATGCCGCCACGGATAGCTGTTGCCACCTCCTTCGCGCACTTGGAACCCAGACCGATGTGGCCGTTGGTGTCGCCCACCAAGACGTAGCACACAAATCTGTTGGTCTGACCGGCGGAGGTCATCTTCTGCACGGGGTGAATCTTCAGCACCTCGTCCTTCAAGCTTCCAGGAGGGTAGAAGTGATCAATGATCTCCGGCTCCTTGATGGGCAGGGAGTGCAGGTAGATCTCCTCCAGGTTGTTGATCTTATTGTCGTTCACGAGCCGTCCCAGCTTGGTCATCGGAACCCATTGCTTCTCCTCCTGCTTTCCCTTGCCCTTGCCCTTTCCTTTGCCCTTCTTGCCTTTGCCCTTCCCTTTGTCTCCAAAGCCTCCCTTGCCAAACCCGCCTTCTCCTCCCATGTGCAGGAAGCCTTAGCCAGGACAACATCAAAGTTTACCGGACGACTCAGACTCTCACACGAGGACGAAAAGTAGATTGCTGAGGCCCATGCTTCTCAGGCAGCCGGAGGATTTTTGGCCCAATATCTGCAACTACCGGAGCCTTCACGGACAGCGGCATGCTCAAGCCATCTGCAAGGCTCTTCTGATGCAACGATGCACGCTGCCAGCATAGAACCCTGTCAAGTTATCAGTTCTCCGAAAACACCAGCACACTTGAACCAACTTTGCCCGCTTCGCAGCGTTGATGAACGTGGCGAGCTCTGTAAATGCTCCCTCGGTTTACGATGGGAGCCGTCCTCGCGCGAATCATGCGAAAGTGTGCTGAGAACTGATCTCAGCAGCCGCAAAACCTGTATTAATCTGAACCTCCTAATGCAGCAGAACCATCACAGCAGCTCACAGCTTCAGAGCTTGAATTCTTCTCCGACCGCCTTCTCTGAAGCTTCCCAGAGCGCCTTTGCAGCTGCCTCGTCGTAGGCCAAAGGGTTCTCGTTCTTCGTCTTGATCGGAGAGCCAGTCCGACCCTCGGAGGGTCCATAGTAGGCTCCACCCTCACAGAGAGTTGGATGCGCAACGGCCATGACCAAGGGAAGGGACCCGTCAGCACAGGACTGGCCGCCCTTCTGGTAGCCGGCGCCGTCCTTCATGCCCCCACCCTTCTGTGTGGTGATTTGCAGGTTGGTGGCGGCGAGTCCCGGGTGGCAGGATGTGGACTTCATCTTGTCACTGAGGCCGGCGTCCTTCAACCGCCTCTGCAGCTCGTTGGCGAAGAGCACGTTGGCCAACTTGCTCTGACCGTACCGGGCCCAATGTCCTGTGCTGCCCCCAAGGACGTAGGGAGCCAAGTACAGCAGCAGACCGTGAGACGGGTGAGGGTTGTTCAGGTTGCTAGCATCCACAGTCGGCTTTCCCTTCTCAGATGCACCGGAGGAGACCTGCGTCAGGGTCACGTCCCCATGCTTCTCTGCGGTGGACTTGAGAAGGGGCCAGAGCCGAAGAGTCATCAGAAAGTGGCTGAGGTGATTCGTCTGGATCTGGATGTCGAAGCCGTCCTTTGTCATCTGGACGTCTAGGCCCATAACACCAGCGTTGTTGCAGACGATGTCCAAGCGATCGTACTGCTTTTTGAACTCATCGGCGAAGCTTCGGATGCTCTCGAAGTCACAGTTGTCCATCTTCATGACCGCGATGGGTTTCGAGTCGATGCCCTCCTCCTTCAGCTTCGCTTCTAAGTCGGCCTTGACGGAATTGCCCTTCTCGACATTTCTTACGGTGATGACGCACTGGGCCCCCTTGGAGGCCAGGGCCTTCGTGGCGTAGAAACCAAGGCCGGAGGAGGTGGAGACCCCCGTGATCAGCGCCACTTTCCCCGACAAATCCTTGATATTCTCAGGGTTCTTGATCCACTCGGGGTAGTACTTGTCCTCGAGCTGTGTCGGGCCGGAGACGTCTGCCTGCGAGGAGGAAGCGGATCCCATGGCGTCTGAAACTAACTGACTTCTCAAGCAGAAGTACTGGACATGTGCTGGGAAAAGCTGCGATAAAACAAAGCTCACTGACCATCACACAAGTGATTCCAGATGCAGTGGCCGCAGTCTCCGCACTGTTCTGACCCACTCTTTTCAGACGGCAGCTCAGTCGTCTTCGAGCGGGTATCCTGGGATAATGCTGAGAACGGTTGCTTGATAACCGTCTCACATGGCAAATTGCGGCCAAGCGGCCAACGTCGGCTCCACTTCTTCGGCAAGATGTGCCAGGCGGCGGCAGAGATTCTGCCACGTCTCGCAGTCGCGTGACGGCGTCGGTCAACGCCTGCAGATAAGAACGAACAGCGAACAGAGGCCTCGGAATGCTTTATGCAAAGAGTCTGAGTCTGCCAAGCCTGGAGCTTCTCCAGCGACTCGAGGAGAGCATCAGACATGCACTCCAGGTCGTCGCCGACCGTGAATCCCACCCTGGCAGAGCGAAGGCTTCAGCCAGGGCAATATCGTTCGGGAGTTCCCGAAAATTGGGGACCCTAATATAGTACCCTAGTTAGTAGGATCCTTATTATACCCTAATTTTCGGAAACTCCCAATTCTGGAGCGCAAGAACACTAATTATGCGACAGATACCTCCGACTCCCACAAGGCCGGCAGCACCGCTCCAGAAGATCCGCATACCGCCCACAGTTCTCACCGAGGACGTGCACGCACTGCTGCAAAACCTGCAGCCGAACCACCAGGCAAGATCACGGCTGGCTGGGAGGTACAGCCTCATGAATCGTGTTGTGAACGCCTATGCCATGTGCCCCTTGCGCGTGAACACTGACCCCCTCAACTTAATTGGACTCCCAGCATGTGCAGCAGGCAGAAAAACCTGAGCGTTCAACAACTCAGCTCCGATTGCAGGGCTGTCTGCAGAATCCTAAGCTCGTAACTCTCATCCTGAAGTCTTGCAGCTCCAAATCCCCAAACCCTGCACCCCAGACCCGAGATCTTCAGAGATCCCCACAAGGCCCCAGACCCCAAAAACACACAGACGCAGACACACAGACACACAGACGACTTCGACTTCAACCCACCGGGCCCACCGTGATCTCCACGGCGGCTGCGGTCCGCGCCTCAGGTGATGCCCGGGCCTGGGCAGCCTGGCTTCCATGAGGTCTCTGGATCGTGGCTTGCTGTGTGGAGGGGGGAGCCTCTTGAATCGGCTTTAGCGTCAAGGGTTCTTCATGGCACCCTCCGTGGGGTCCAATTGGGCCCATAGCTACCGCTTTGTTTGCATCTGCCTAAGCTGGATAGGATCGTCATCAAAGGAGCTTCAGACCATCAGCCACCATCTTGGTTAGCCCTACATAGCCGTAAATGATACTTGTCGTGATCGCCGGCGTCGCACGAGTCAGTGGGATCCGCGTCAACAACAGGACGCTCCGCTTCGATTTGCAAGGACAGCTTGTCGACTGGCTGTGATTGGCTGTGCAGAAAAAGTTGGTTCGTGTGCATCCATTTTGCTTGACTTCGGGTTTGATAACACCTGTTCCACAAACTCCCCGTGTGCACACTATCTAGAGTTGTTTCTGTTAGCTCGAAAACCGCAATCCAAAATCCGTACATCTTGTGGAATTAAGCCTTCAGCACCTAAAGGCTGAAGGCCCAACTCCATGAGCCCAAACCCTGACGGAGCCCCAAGGCAGTGCTGGAAAAATTGTGGGAAAAAATTGAAATTCTCAACGGCCCCTAAGCCCGGAATATCGTCCTATGATACGACCATCATGTGCATCAGAACAGTCAGTAAGACCAGAAAAAGCAATCATAATATTTCCTCACTTCCCTAGCCATCGTCATACGTAGTGCCAAACGCCACAGGTCTATCGTCGTCAGAGCTGTCCACCGTGGTTCCTTTCCGGAGTCGGTCCTCCGCCACTTCATCGCAGGTACTAGACGATCCGTATAACCACCGCAAAGGACAACTGCCTGCGCCCCACTCAGCCGCTTGCCGAGCCGGGATACGCCTGGGGTGTTTGGTGCTCAAGCTTTCAGGCAGAAGCACAGGCCTCCAAACCCTTGGCAACTAAGGACAGTTCCGAGACCCATGATCCGCATGTATGGCAGCGCTTCTAATTACCTTTAGAGATGACCCCTGCTTTCGAAGCGGTAACTGGCTGATGTTGAACGCCTAAGACCTGTGGGCGAATTCGGATGGGAGCTGTTCTGTGTTCTCAATGAGTTCTGAAGCTCGAACTTCTTGGATGTTGCACGTGCACCCAGCATAGCACTGAAGCTCAGGCGAGCCCGCACCGATGCAGGCGTGTTCAAAAGGTACCGGGAGTACACCGCCTCTGGCAGTGGCAGAAACGAACTGCACGGCTCTCTGAAAAAACCCGGCGACATCGAAGGCTGATCCAGTTCTGAAGACCAAAATAGGCCGGGTCTCCCGCTTTCCTCTCTGCCCTGCTCTGCCCTGCTCTGCCCTGCTCTGCCCTGCTCTGCCCTGCTCTGCCCTGCTCTCCTCTCTGTCCTGGGCAGCCCGGCCCGGAGGAGGGCCTCGCTGCTCCGCCGCTGCGTCAAACAGACGCGACCTCCCCACATCTCCCCCCACATCTCCCCACGGCGGCTCGGCGACGCCAAAAAGAACACGCAGACTCGGAAACAGTGGGGTCCGAACGAATCTCCAGCCACTCCAGCATGGGCAGCACCTTGGGTGGTGCAGAGCAACAGACCTCAGGGGGTGAGCCAAGGAGCTGCCTGGTCGAGGAGCGCGGGAAGCTCTGTGTCGGCTTTCTGCATGGCTGTTCAAGCACCGGCCATGGACTGCTGCTGCTCTGCTCTTGCCTCTGTCTGCATGTTTCATCATGATGCTTCGCCCGCATGAAGCGACGGTTATCATCATGTCCACCGACGGTCCGACACATGACTTGAAAAGTCGGGCGTGCTGATACGTGCTGGCTGTCTCGAGACTGTTGCTCGCGTTTCAGAACTCATTCAGCAAACATCTGGCCTGCATATGCCTGCATCTCACAGTGTACCCGATCGTGGAAATGTGTTTCGGAGAACTCTCACAGGACATCTAGTTGCCGGTATGCTGCCAAAAACATCCATCATCCTCCTGCTTCCTCGAAGCGGCCTCTTTTTCCACGCTTCCGCGTCCACCTGTGCTCTCACGGGAGCACCTGAAATCGAGGAGAGCGGACCGCGTAAGACTCTCGGAAGAGAAGGCAGGGCCCAGGGCCCCGGCTCAGGCAGGCAGCGGTGCCTTGGCTCTCGAGCTGGGGCTCTCTCTTGCTTGCGTGGAGCATTCCTCCGTCTCTCGCTTTTCCCCTCCACCCGGCTGGATTGAGGCTCGAGCGGGCAGGGGGATGGGCGCCGGGGCTTCCAGCACATTCGGCTTCTGACCTTGCCGGTTCGGAAAGGAGATGATCGGAATCGGAATGGGACGGGCTGAGCCATGCACTGGAGGGCAAGCTTTTCTTGAACTCCTGCAAAGCACAGGAGAAGCGGCCAGCAAGTGCCCCCATCGGAAGGACGGGAGGGGCTCCTCGTACTCGTCGGGAAGCTCGGAGTCTGACTCGAAGAAGAGGTAGGACAAAGTGATGTGGTCCACGTGGTCAAATCGACTGAGCAGAGACTCCCAGGCCAGGCTGACATGCGTCCTCTCTCCGACGTCGAACCAATTCTTCCCTGGGGAGGCCGCTTGTCACGCCCCATCATCGGGTCCTTGGATCAGGGCTTCGGGATCTTCCGTACGGACTTCGTCAGGTTCAGGGGGCACATAATGCTAGTTCCAGCTTTGGTCGATGCGACAGCACTCAGCACATTGAACTCGTCTCCATCAGCCACGCCGACCACACTGTTCTGCTAGTCGAGTCGCAATGAAAAAGAAGATCGGTAGGTCGACCTCTTCACCTGGATGCCACGTGCCGCAGCAAGTCCAGCAGAGGCTGAGCTAAGTCCGACTGAGCCTTCTAGGTGCTGACGCTATGTGGTTCGGGGCTGGAAACGTTTCTGTGTCAGAGTCGACCGGCCTGGATTGATCAGCTGCTCGTCAAAGCAGAAGCACTGGATCCTTGTGCGCTTCAGGGCTCTTGAAGCTGCAAAGAAGCTTTGGCAGGTATAGTCTGGGACGGTGCCAGACCCACAGACCTGCAAACCCAGGGGAGCTAAGACCGCTACTTGTGAAGTCCCGCAGCCCTGAACCAACTTGCGCTTCACCTACCAACACCTGGAGTATCATCGATACCGAGAAGTTGGATGGGTCTTGAACGCACAAGGAACAAGTGCTCTTGAGCGAAGACACTACTTCTCAAGCAGGCAAGGTCATGGAACCGCAGCGAACACAAAGCGAGAATCCTAAGGATGGATGCATCGAATGAGTAAGCCTAACCGGCGCCGAAGACGAGCCCATTGGCCCTTGAAAGAATCCAAACAGTCTTTGCGTTGCGCCACGGCGCTTGTTGAAGTAGAGTCCCGCCTGGCAGGTCCAGCAATGCAGCGGAAGCGCTCCAACTCAACTCACTGTCAAGAGCTCTGGACTCTTCAGAAGCCGGTCCGAATCGAATGAGTATGAAAGGCACCTCTTTAAACAGAAAAACTCTGGATGCTCCATCTGCTGCACGAACAATCCTGAACATACATAGAAATCATCTGCCTCTGCAGGAATCATGTGATAAACGGACACGCCGATAATTGGCCGATCGCTGGTGTTCCTCATACAGGCAAGATCCGGCAAGAACGAACTCCCAAGTTGGTTCGCGATGTCCCAAAACAAGTTGTCACGGTATAGGATTGGTCCACCATGCTTGAGGCAGAAAGCGCAAACTTGAATGGCGGCTGACCACCATCAATTCTTCTCGGAACTGTTGGACCGTGCTGCCATGTGCCGAGCGGCAGAAGGTCAGGCACACAGGAGAGGAGCGTGATACATGCTTGGCTCCACACTTGGCACGATAGAAGGCTAGCGCAGTCTCCTCGCAGAAGATGGCGTGTGAGACATGCCGGTAGGCCGGTAGAAGTTACTCCGATGGCAGTCGACAACATAAAACTTCGTGGCATGTGTTAAGGGGTTAAACTGGTTAAAGCTGATGATCCCTCTTTGGCGCCCCCCCGCGCTGGTCCCCGAGGCCAACAACGACGCGCCGCTGCTGCGGAACAAACTGCCACGGCAGGGAGGTATGAACCTGATCAGCAGATCAATGGAGAAGTTGGCTGCGTTTGTCACAAGCTGAAGCCTTGGGAGTCTGACGTCTGCGGTAGAGCGGGAACGTATGACCCGAAACAATCACTTCTCAGCACAGTCTTTCGTGTCGCAGATGTTTGTGGGGATTTGCTTTCTGCGCGAGCTCCATGACAGTCGCCTTCATACCTTGCACCTTGGGATGCTGACCCTTCGCCAGCGAACCGCACCTTCACAAACGTATGTCATGTTGTCATCGTGCTTCACGACTCGACATACATGAATCAAAGGTTTGATTCTGAAAGTTTGGACCGTATTTCTGTGGTGAAGCGCTGATGACCACGTTTGTGTAGCGAAACTCTTGTTTCTACATGTTTCTACTCTTTGAGGACTAACCCTTATAAGAAACCTGTTGAACTTAAACGCCACCAAAGCCTCAGTGTTTCATCAACCATCAAGCCAACGAGTGGCGAGCAAGGGGACTTTACCCGTAAGGACTGACGAGTGCCAGCATTGTCAAACGAATGTTGATATTGCATCCGAATGTGGGTTCGAGGCCTCAAAACATCACGGTTCCACTGGACGCTCAGAACATAAACTGGAAAATCACACGCTGTGCCTGACGGTCCCTCAAGGAAACCGGCGAAGCTTGGGTGGGTAAACTGTAACTGTGTAAACAGAGTGCGGGTGTTGCTGTTGCTTAGCGAAGTGGTTGACTCAATGCTTCATTCATCAAAGGACTGGTCAAATAGGTGAACTATTAGGACTGACGATCCCCGATGCTGACGCAGGGACTGTCGCAGCGAAGTCCACGGTTACAAGGCGCTTGGCATCAACAGAATCCTGGAGAAAAGTGTTCAGATGCTGATACTTTGACATGGCTGAAGGTTTAGGGATGTCGGGTAAAATCAAATCTTCCCCCTGCCCCTGCACCCGCTGTGCCTTTCTCCCCGAGTCGGGGTTTCGGGAGTGCAAACAGAAAGCCGGGTGCGGTAGGGTGAGATGCGAAGGCCAACTGATGGAAATCTCTGTCAGAACTTCGGGATCTTCGACGATTCCCAACATCTCCGAAGGCCTACCTGTGGTCTGGGGATCCATTGGGTTCAAGAAAACATCGGTCCTTGGATGGAGGTGGTGAGTATTCTTTGTGCCCCACCGATGATGCCTCCAAACAGCTCATACGTTGTCAAGACATCTGCCTGACGGTGCTAGTTTGGACAGGGGCAGGCTAGCAGCATGAGTTCCCAGGGATGTCATGCCTGGCAAGTGATCGACTGGGATCCACACGTTCTAGTCTCGTGATTTCTCGCTTCATCTTGGTTGACTTGATCTTTTACCTATTTTTTGCTGTTGGGCATCCCTGCGACGTCAGACCTCTTGCGGACCACGAAACCTCAGTCGCCTCAGTCCGAAGTCCGAAACTCCAAAGCGCCCGCAGCTTAGTCAAACTGGCCTGGCCCTGGCCTGTGGCCTGGCAGTAGATCTTGTAGAGCCTGGCGGAGGCCGCGAGGAGACCCCGCCGCAGGGTTGTTTAAGCGTAGGCTACGGGGTTTAGGGTTATGTGCGCCACAACGATCAGTCGCACCTTTCGCATCTTGACGCTGCCAGGGCACGGCACACATGCGAAGACCAGGGCGAAGATCGTCATGCCGGCCGCACCGTACCACCAGGTCTCAGAAAGCATACCGTCCAGAATTTAAGCAGCCCTTGGCTTCAATCGGAAACAACTGGCAACGAGCATCCTCTGCTCGCTTGATCTCCCCTGCCACCCTTTCCAGCGTGTCCTTTCGGGGTTTGGCCCTGTCATAGCGAGGCCCCGGCGGTCTGCAGGCTTTGCTCCAGCTGTCTCCGCCTGCCTCTCGGCAAGAGCTGCCTCGGTGGAGGCAAAGGCTGAACTGCACAGGCTGCCTGTACCCACATATGCCTCTTTTTGTTTGGGTGTCTATATAGATGCATGCATGCATGCATGGATGGAAGGCTGGATGGATACTTCTTCTCTTAGCACAGACAAAGGGTAATGTCGCTGTCGTGGTTTCTTTCGAAAAGCACTCTGCATGCATCGATCTGTCTTATCTCGCTGTCTTCGTCGATCAGCAACTCGTCGATTGCACTGGGTAGTCGGCTCGTTTGTCGGGCCGCCCAGGAAGCATCTGGATGAACACCTGCCCGGATCCAAGCGACGGTTCGCAACCCCGAATGGCCTGCAACAAAAGCTGGGTGCAACACTGATGGAGGCCAGGGTGGGCAAAGGCCATGCCTGCCGCTGACACGTACACCGACTTTGGAATCTGCATCCTCGCGGCCGTCCCGATCGTACGAAAAACGCACCAGAACAGACTTTTCCGGAAAAGACTGCAGCTGCATTTTGCAATGGAAATCACCAATCATTGACCTCCGCAAGCCACAAGCAGGGGCAAAGTGCAAAGACTGCGAATGGGGTAAATCAGGATTCCTTTGAGCCGATCCTTGAGCTTCGATGCTTCAGATGCAAAAAAGCCAAAATCCACGGATGCCCTTGCCTGGCATTCGCGCGCATGACGGGGCAGATCCGAGCTGCGAAGCCTGCATCCTGCAGTGGCAGCTCTTTCATAATTTCGTGTTGAGGAGGCGGGCTCTACAAATCACAAGAAGTACAGTCCGGCTCTAACTCACTGTGGTTTGACGTGGGCTGAGAAAGTAAAGAGGCGAGAGCGAGCATGACAGGAACACACACAGCACATCCCGGATAATTATCGCAAGGCATCTAGTACTCAGAAGAGCGGGAGCATCTGGGTCATTGCCTCATCAGACAATTTGAAAACTTGAAAACCACAACTTGCAGAGATGGCTTCCGTGACACCTCTGCGCCCGCAGGGTTTCAGGAAGGCTCCGCTCAGCCGTACTTCTTGATAAGCTGCTTCAATGTGTCCAGAATCCAAAGTATTCTAGAACTGGGCCGGGCCTGTGCCATCTGGTCGAACGCAACCATCTCGCGCGCGCTAGCATGACTACAGATGTGAGCATGGTGAGGGTTCGCACATGCATGGCACATCGCATGGCTTGTTCTTGCTTCAACATCTGCATACACAAGCCATCCGTCCTACTCAAGGAACTTCCTGCTGCACTACACTACATTGCTGTCTCAGCACAGATTGTTTTTCGAAGCTGCGACGATGACGTGTCTTACGCAGTGAAGCTGAAACTGCAAGCCAGAAAATCACAGCGTGGAGTTTCGAGCACCATATTGCGTTGTCGCTTGGAGCATGCTCAACGGGTTCAGAAGCAGGGCAACTCGCTTTCTTCCCTTCGGCCGGCAGCACGTTTCCGATGCCAAGAGTCCGGCACATGTCCAGATGGAAACGTTGGTTTTGCAGGTTTTCTCTAAGCATCATTTCCATGAGACATGATACCGGCATCGCGACATGCACATGAGATCGTGCATGGAGGGAACAACATGGAACAAGAACACAGAGCAACTTGATACATCTTGCATGTACAAAACCAAGCACTACGACGCCACGTTTGACATGAAACATGTACGTATGCTCGTCACATATGCTCGTCTGCTGCGCTTGTGCATCCTAAACCTACGACGGAGCATTCAGAATTCCGCTCGGCTTCTTTCCCGAACACTGCAAAAACAAGTGGAGCATTGAAGAAGCTCTCTTCCTTCTCAGGCCAGGAGCATGGCATTTCGACACTACTCGTAGATGCTAGAAACCTGCTGCGACATGCTATGACGGCGGTTGGGACCCTTCCGTGCCTCTCCAAGCTGCCCATCTCGGACACGTGGTTAAGCAAGGCCTGCGGCAGCTGCGGGAGCAAACGGGCATCTCCGGAAACGAAGCAAGCGGACTGCTCCGAGTGACAATCGGACACGCGGCCTGGGGGCTTCTGGTCTGCGTCGACAGCACGCGCCAAAACAGCAGAGCCTCCACCTCTAGTGAAGTGCATGCACTTCACTATACGCACGGAGGAGGCCTCCAAAAAAGCATCCTTACGACACATTGGCGACGGCCCTGCCACCGGCCACTTCGCTACCAAGCCGCACTCATGAACGGCAGCAGGCTTTTCCTCAGCGGTGGGGGCATCGGAAGAGATGTTGTGCGGGATCTGCTGAAAACTGATGCAGACCCTATACATAGACCGACCGAGGAGCATCAGGAGGACTTCGGGAGCAAAATCCGCAGCACCAACCTCGACACTTACGCGCTGAACTCGCTGCATCTAGCTGCCAACGCCCATGGTGAGTCTTTGGTCTCAGTGGCGCGATCAGCCGTTTACTGGCAGCATCATTGTCAAGGCCCAGCTGCAACTGTGCTTTCAGGGTTGGTCGAGACCTCCGGCAAAGACGAGATCTCCGGCAATGACCAACCGACCTAGGCTCGTCTTCGTCAACTCTGTTTGCAGCATCAGTCCACTGCAGCAACCGCATGCGAGGGAACCGCACACGGGCTTTCGGCAAGAGGCAGAGCAGTCCTCACCCTCCGTCTGGGCCACTTTTTTAAGCCCGACCAGCCCGCCCGGATTGAAGGACACTACTGCCCAGCATTTTCCCAAAGCTAAAAGGAGGGCATGCGGCTTGCGTTCTGCACTGCTATGAGAGGCAAAGTTCCACCTGTGAAACAGGCAACCGACAACTCGCTCGTACGGACAACCTGCGGCCTATCTAGGCCTATCCTTTCAAGATGTGCAAAGCAAGAACGGGATGGAGTCACCTTGCAGATAGGCTCTAAAGGTCGGCCCAGTGATGATAAACAATGTGATCGGAGTGTTTTTTCGAAATTCCATCCAAACGGCATTAGCCAGGCCTGACAGTCCGAACCAACACCAGCGCCACCAGCGGCAGGACTGAAATTTGGCTGATACTGATACTCTTTCACCATGGCACACAGTGATCATGGAAATTCCCAGGATTTCCCAGGCAACTTCATGAAGGCTCGTCTGCGGTCAGGATGACACTTGATTTCATCACTTGGAAGCAATGGTCGAATAATCACTAAGCAGTCGACTGTCGACTTGCTCATCGTGAGCCATGTCGATGCCTGAATCTTCGATGATGAATTTCCTGCGGCATTAGCAGGTGATACAGCATCGCACAAGGGATGAATGCAGCATACATGCAAAGTGGACACTGAAACGACCGGGCACGCATACCGCGGGCACTTAGAACGGCGCTACATCACCATAGATGATGCATACCTACGTACCTACCTACCTAGATACATATACATACTGCATGCCGACCACAGGAGGACTGGCACTGTCTCTTGCCTGTTGCTGTCGCTCACGTTGAAATAGCCTGAAGCCTGAGCCTGAAGCGCAACAGGAGCTGGTGTTGGCGCAAAGCACCATTAATTTCTCTGCAACTAACATAGGTTTGCTCCAGAAGCACTTCGCAACAGTTCACAGGCATCCGATGCGTTGGAGATCAGCTCTCTTATGAAAAACTGGTGAGGATGCCAAGCCCAAAGCGGCCGACCAACTTGCCAACGCCTCCTTGTCCGTGTACAAGGATGTTGAGAAGCTTCTGTCAGCCTCGCTCCATATGCCCATAAACATCACCCTGATGTCAATGTTGTTTTGACCATGGGTCACAGGGCGCCTTGCCTTGAACTTGTGAAATTCCGGGCCCTGGCACGCGGAGAAATCCTGCAAAGAAGCATGGAAAAGCAGCAGCAAGCAAGCAGCCCTGAGCGGCCCTTAGTAACTTTAGCGTCTGCACATCGACTGTACAGCTGCAGCTTGGCGCCTCGACCAACGAGGGCTGCAACCTGGGAGGAAGCGCGCGGCGGCAATCCCACACGCTCTTCGCACATCTTGCTGAGAGGAGGACCGCTCGCAGTGATTCTGCGAGTGAATGTCGGCACCTCTTTCGCTGCAAAATGCACTTGTGGGGCTCTCAACCCGACTTTCTCATCGCTCCATGAAACGAGACACGGAATTTGTATGGCCTGAACGCCCTCAAAACATAGAGAAGTCACTTGCTCATGGCAGGACCTGAACACACAGTGTACCCGATCGTGGAAATGTGTGCCGGAGAATTCTCACAGAACCTCTAGTTGCCGGTATGCTGCCAGAAACATCCATCATCCTCCTGCTTCCTCGAAGCGGCCTCTTTTTCCACGCTTCCGCGTCCACCTGTGCTCTCACGGGAGCACCTGAACCCGAGGGAGCGGACCGCGTAAGACTCTCGGAAGAGAAGGCAGGGCCCAGGGCCCCGGCTCAGGCAGGCAGCGGTGCCTTGGCTCTCGAGCTGGGGCTCTCTCTTGCTTGCGTGGAGCATTCCTCCGTCTCTCGCTTTTCCCCTCCACCCGGCTGGATTGAGGCTCGAGCGGGCAGGGGGATGGGCGCCGGGGCTTCCAGCACATTCGGCTTCTGACCTTGCCGGTTCGGAAAGGAGATGATCGGAATCGGAATGGGACGGGCTGAGCCATGCACTGGAGGGCAAGCTTTTCTTGAACTCCTGCAAAGCACAGGAGAAGCGGCCAGCAAGTGCCCGCATCGGAAGGACGGGAGGGGCTCCTCGTACTCGTCGGGAAGCTCGGAGTCTGACTCGAAGAAGAGGTAGGACAAAGTGATGTGGTCCACGTGGTCAAATCGACTGAGCAGAGACTCCCAGGCCAGGCTGACATGCGTCCTCTCTCCGACGTCGAACCAATTCTTCCCTGGGGAGGCCGCTTGTCACGCCCCATCATCGGGTCCTTGGATCAGGGCTTCGGGATCTTCCGTACGGACTTCGTCAGGTTCAGGGGGCACATAATGCTAGTTCCAGCTTTGGTCGATGCGACAGCACTCAGCACATTGAACTCGTCTCCATCAGCCACGCAGACCACACTGTTCTGTTAGTCGAGGCGCAATGAAAAAGAAGATCGGTAGGTCAACCTCTTCACCTGGATGACACGTGCCGCAGCAAGTCCAGCAGAGGCTGAGCTAAGTCCGACTGAGCCTTCTAGGTGCTGACGCTGTCCGCTCCGGGGTTGGAAACGTTTCTGTGTCAGAGCCGACCGGCCTGGATTGATCAGCGGCTCGTCAAAGCAGAATCACTGGACCCTTGTGCGCTTCAGGGCTCTTGAAGCTGCAAAGGAACTTTGGCAGGTATAGTCTGGGACGGTGCCAGACCCACAGACCTGCAAACCCAGGGGAGCTAAGACCGCTACTTGTGAAGTCCCGCGGCCCTGAACCAACTTGCGCTTCACCTACCAACACCTGGAGTATCATCGATACCGAGAAGTTGGATGGGTCTTGAGCGCACAAGGAACAAGTCTCTTGAGTGAAGACACCACTTCTCAAGCAGAGAATCCTAAGGATGGATGCATCGAATGACTAAGCCTAACCGGCACCGAAGACCAGCCCATTGGCCCTGGAAAGAATCCAAACAGTCTTTGCGTTGTGCCACGGCGCTTGTTGAAGTAGAGTCCCGCCTCGCAGGTCCAGCAATGCAGCGGAAGCGCTCCAACTCAACTCACTGTCAAGAGCTCTGGACTCTTGGCACCTCTTTAAACAGAAAAAGTCTGGACGCTCCATCTGCTGCACGAACAATCCTGAACATACATAGAAATCATCTGCCTCTGCAGGAATCATGTGATAAACGGACACGCCGATAATTGGCCGCTCGCTGGTGTTCCTCATACAGGCAAGATCCGGCAAGAACGAACTCCCAAGTTGGTTCGCGATGTCCCAAAACAAGTTGTCACGGTATAGGATTGGTCCACCATGCTTGAGGCAGAAAGCGCAAACTTGAATGGCGGCTGACCACCATCAATTCTTCTCGGAACTGTTGGACCGTGCTGCCATGTGCGGAGCGGCAGAAGGTCAGGCACGCAGGAGAGGAGCGTGATACATGCTTGGCTCCACACTTGGCACGATAGAAGGCTAGCGCAGTCTCCTCGCAGAAGATGGCGTGTGAGACATGCCGGTAGGCCGGTAGAAGTTACTCCGATGGCAGTCGACAACTTGGACAATAAAACTTCGTGGCAGACAAAAGCGCTCAACTTTAATCCCGTGAAAGCACATCTGTGTTAAGGTTAAAGCTGATGATCCCTCTTTGGCGCCCCCCCGCGCTGGCCCCCGACGCCAACAACGACGCGCCGCTGCTGCGGAACAAACTGCCACGGCAGGGAGGTATGAACCTGATCAGCAGATCAATGGAGAAGTTGGCTGCGTTTGTCACAAGCTGAAGCCTCGGGAGTCTGACGTCTGCGATAGAGCGGGAACGTATGACCCGAAACAATCACTTCTCAGCACAGTCTTTCGTGTCGCAGATGTTTGTGGGATGTGCTTTCTGTGCGAGCTCCATGACAGTCGCCTTCATACCTTCCACCTTGGGATGCTGACCCCTCGCCAGCGAACCGCACCTTCACAAACGTATGTCGTGTAGTCATCGTGCTTCACGACTCGACATACATGAATCAAAGGTTTGATTCTGAAAGTTTGGACCGTATTTCTGTGGTGAAGCGTCCCGGTTTAAGAGCTGATGATCACGGTTGTGTAGCGAATCTCTTGTTTCTACATGTTTCTACTCTTTGAGGACTAACCCTTATAAGAAACCTGTTGAACTTAAACACCACCAAAGCCTCAGTGTTTCATCAACCATCAAGTCAACGAGTGGCGAGCAAGGGGATTTTACTCGTAAGAACTTACGAGTGCCAGCATTGTCTAACGAATGTTGATATTGCCTCCGAATGTGGGTTCGAGGCCTCAAAACATCACGGTTCCACTGGACGCTCGCTCAGAACATAAACTGCAAAATCACACGCTGTGCCTGACGGTCCCTCAAGGAAACCGGCGAAGCTTGGGTGGGTAAACTGTAACTGTGTAAACATAGTACGGGTGTTGTTGTTGCTTAGCGAAGTGGTTGACTCAATGCTTCATTCATCAAAGGACTGGTCAAATACGTGATTTATTAGGATTGACGATCCCCGATGCTGACGCAGGGACTGTCGCCGCGAAGTCCACGGTTACAAGGCGCTTGGCATCCACAGAATCCTGGAGAAAAGTGTTCAGATGCTGATACTTTGACATGGCTGAAGGTTTAGGGATGTCGGGTAAAAACAAAATCTTCCCCCTGCCCCTGCACCCGCTGGGGTTTCGGGAGTGCAAACAGAAAGCCGGGTGCGGTAGGGTGAGATGCGAAGGCCAACTGATGGAAATCTCTGGCAGAACTTCGGGATCTTCGACGATTCCCAACATCTCCGACGGTCCGAAGGCCTACCTGTGGTCTGGGGATCCATTGGGGTTCAAGAAAACATCGGTCCTTGGATGGAGGTGGTGAGTATTCTTTGTGCCCCACCGATGATGCCTCCAAACAGCTCATACGTTGTCAAGGTCAAGAGAACCTCGAGTTCTACCAGCCGTGACTAGCAATAGATATGCAGACATCTGTCCGACGGTGCTAGTTTGGACAGGGGCAGGCTAGCAGCATGAGTTCCCAGGGATGTCATGCCTGGCAAGTGATCGACTGGGATCCACACGTTCTAGTCTCGTGATTTCTCGCTTCATCTTGGTTGACTTGATCTGTTACCTATTCTTTGCTGTTGGGCATCCCTGCGACGTCAGACCTCTTGCGGACCACGAAACCTCAGTCGCCTCAGTCCGAAGTCCGAAACTCCAAAGCGCCCGCAGCTTAGTCAAACTGGCCTGGCCCTGGCCTGTGGCCTGGCAGTAGATCTTGTAGAGCCTGGCGGAGGCCGCGAGGAGACCCCGCCGCAGGGTTTGGGGTGTAGTGTTTAAGCGTAGGCTACGGGGTTTAGGGTTATGTGCGCCACAACGATCAGTCGCACCTTTCGCATCTTGACGCTGCCAGGGCACGGCACACATGCGAAGACCAGGGCGAAGATCGTCATGCCGGCCGCACCGTACCACCAGGTCTCAGAAAGCATACCGTCCAGAATTTAAGAGCCCTTGGCTTCAATCGGAAACAACTGGCAACGAGCATCCTCTGCTCGCTTGATCTCCCCTGCCACCCTTTCCAGCGTGTCCTTTCGGGGTTTGGCCCTGCCATAGCGAGGCCCCGGCGGTCTGCAAGCTTTGCTCCAGCTGTCTCCGCCTGCCTCTCGGCAAGAGCTGCCTCGGCGGAGGCAAAGGCTGAACTGCACAGGCTGTCTGTACCCATATATGCCTCTTTTTGTTTGGGTGTCTATATAAATGCATGCATGCATGGATGGAAGGCTGGATGGATACTTCTTCTCTTTTAGCACAGACAAAGCGGGTAATGTCGCTGTCGTGGTTTCTTTCGAAAAGCACTCTGCATGTATCGATCTGTCTTATCTCGCTGTCTTCGTCGATCAGCAACTCGTCGATTGCACTGGGTAGTCGGCTCGTTTGTCGGGCCGCCCAGGAAGCATCTGGATGAACACCTGCACGGATCCAAGCGACGGTTCGCAACCCCGAATGGCCTTGCAACAAAAGCTGGGTGCAACACTGATGGAGGCCAGGGTGGGGAAATGCCATGCCTGCCGATGCCTGCGGCTGACACGTACACCGAGTTTGGAATCTGCATCCTCGCGGCCGTCCCGATCGTACGAAAAACGCACCAGAACAGACTTTTCCGGAAAAGACTGCAGCTGCATTTTGCAATGGAAATCACCAATCATTGACCTCCGCAAACCACAAGCAGGGGCAAAGTGCAAAGACTGCGAGTGGGGTAAATCAGGATTCCTTTGAGCCGATCCTTGAGCTTCGATGCTTCAGATGCAGAAAAGCCGAAATCCATGCATGCCCTTGCCTGGCATGCGCGCGCATGACGGGGCAGATCCGAGCTGCGAAGCCTGCATCCTGCAGTGGCAACTCTTTCATAATTTCGTGTTGAGGAGGCGGGCTCTACAAATCACAAGAAGAACAGTCCGGCTCTAACTCACTGCGGTTTGACGTGGGCTGAGAAAGTAAAGAGGCGAGAGCGAGCATGACAGGAACCCACACAGCACACCCCGGATAATTATCACCGAGAAAGCATCTAGTACTCAGAAGAGCGGGAGCATCTGGGTCATTGCCATGTCATTGCCTCATCAGACAACACACCCTCTATATAACACCTCCAGGGATCCATGTCACCAGCTATTCCAATAAACGCCCTGCGGTACTTCGAATAGGATACCTGGCCCTAAACCCCAAGCCCAAACCCCCCTAAACGCTTAACCCTAAAATCCTAGATTGGAGTAGGACGCCGCGTACCTGTTCTGAGAACCCCACAACTCCGAAACACGAAAGCGCTACTAACTAAGCTTGTCGGGCCCAAAGCTCGATGAAGGTTTAGGTTTGGGGCCTATAGAGTTTAATCCCGAACCCTACAGCCCTGCAGCCCTAAAGCCTTCAACCCTAAAACTCAAGACCAAAGCAGAGCCTCACGGAATGCCAGGAAGGAAGGGCACACCTTACTTTATTTCGGGGTTTTAAGCACTTAGGGCTGGTTGTATAGCCGAAAAGCTGCTGAGCTCCATTCGCACTGACTTATCACATTACAACATGGTTTTTGTAAGGATTGCGCAAGGCATGTCTGGGTGCTTTAGAAGATGTTGCCAGGCTTTTGAGGATGCTGCCAACAACCAAGGTGCAGGCGCGGTCGTTCGGTCTCTCCGACGATTGCAGCGAGACCCGTGCTCGGCAACGAACAGCCAAAAGCGATCGAATCACTCACGTTGAGAAAGAGCTTGTGAACAGGTTTGGAAAGAACCGCATGAACCCCATCAGGTAGTGGATCGGTGCGAGTTGCGCTTGGTGTCCTTCAGCTCATATCAGCGCTCAAGACCCCCACTTCTGCATTCCCCGCTATTGAGCTTATGTGCTGTGCAATAAATGATTGAATCAGCTGTGAGACGGCACACTGCTGCGGCACAAGTAGCATGAGCTGTGGTCTTCGTAAAGTTGCAGCAAACGCACGATTCCCGTGATGTCTGCTTTAGAGATGCCGCGCACCGAAGATCGAAGCCGAAGGCCCGCACATTCCTTTGAATCTTGTTGCAATGCGTACACAGGCTGCAGCGTCTGTAAAGCCGCTTGAAAGGGGTTTCAGCTTGAAGGTTCATAAACGCAGCAGTGGGGTTTACGGTCTTCGTGGGATCCGGAGGAGTTTACAAGCACAATCGTGAAACGCGTTGCAGTCGTTGCCTCGTGGAGATCAGATCCAGGAGCACTTCCTGGCCGGTTTAGGGTTTAGGGTTTAGGGTTTAGGGTTTAGGCTCGCCTCCAAGTACTCTTTCATCGGCAGCGCCTCAGGCAACGACCCCAAGCTGCTACTCTCACTTATATACGCACACACGAGCGCATACCAACATTGAAATCCAGACCTCGGCTGCCAGTCTCTCGACTTCCAGCTGCAGCTTCTCGGCAATTCCTTGCAGGTCCTGCACCTGAACAAGCATTTGGCTCAGACTTCAATCGGTTCACCTCCTGCTGCAGCTCTGCAAAACCAGCGGCCTCTTGCACGGCAGCGACGCGTCGCACCTTGCACCCGGTTCTTTGTGTCAGGTGCGGTAGGTGCTTGCGTACAACATTCAGTATTACGACGTACACGCGCCCACACCTCGCTGTCGGCCAGCTGTGCACGTGCCTCTGCCGCTTCCCTTTGCAGTCGCTGAACTTCCTGCTGAAGTTGCTCTGCCGCCACTTGTACTCTGAGAGCGGACTCGCGCTCTACCTGCAATCAAACAGCACAGCCTACCAAGCACGTTCGTCGTTCGTGCTGCACCCTCTCGCTTTCAAACGTGCGTCTCCCTACCTCGAGCTCTGCAAGCCTGCTCCGCATCTCATGCACCTGACCGGTGGGTGCGCGGGCAATCGTTGAGGGCGATGTGAACAATATCCGTGGTTCCTTGTTGTTCCTGAGTATGTGGAAGTATTGGAAGATGTGAGACATGAATGTCAGGTCATGTGCCACACTTGACTCTCGCTGCCTCCATGCTTGTCACGTCTGTAAGCCGCGGAATATGTGTAAGATATCTGGAGTAAGTGGACTGTGTTGTCTCCTGCATTGCATGACCGTTTTGGCTGCCATCGCTATGACAACTGTTCGCACGACTAGTCTGACACTGCTGCACCATTACAACGAGAACAATAGATGCTCTCTTCACTGTGCCATTTCTATTACCAGCTCCTCTTCGATCATTCTGAGTGCGATGAGCGGGGCCACAGCTAGTTTCCGCAAGTGAAGTTCTAGTGGAACTCATGCCAAAGCCTTCCATGGGTGCCGCGGGCACAAGCAGCACTACGCACACGGTGAGTAGTGCGAACCGTGTGATTGTTTCTGCATTACCGGCATGATTCCTGTTCGCCATGTCGTTTGTACTTCAAGCACGTACTACATGGCACTGGACCATGACGACGTTTGCAACTGGAGACAGGAAGCTGGGTGCACACCCTCGCACAAATAGCCGAATTTTGATCTTGCGCTAGAGACGTCTGCGGCGAGTACGTTCAGATGAAGAAGCTAACGCATGTGTGTTTACACAAGCAAGCCAATTCGAATACTATGTGATGGAAAAGCAACGAGGATCGTCACCACGGATGATAATAACAGATGCAAATTTCTTACCCGTCTTATTTACAGTGTGACGTCCGAAACATGCACGAATTTGACTTCTTAGGGTCTGCTCCTCTACGCCGGATTATACCGGGTGCTTCATGGTGCTTCGCATCGGTCAACTGAGTCGAGCCAGGTAGCTCAAGACTCAGAGTTCAGGACTCAGGCGGAGTGTTCTCGTCGTTGCCTTCAGTACTGGTGCCTGCCAGGTGTGCTCTGTACAACTGGGGCAGGCACGTCAAGTAAGAGAGTGTGAGTGGGGGTGTCGTCATCCCACAAGCTTTGGTCTCATGCCGCCCATTTCAATCGCCAGTCTTTTGTCAAGGCATTGCTTCGGCACTTGAGCAGTGAGATGGTCGGAGAGTGACCTGCAATCAGCGTACTGCAAGTGGAGCATGCTGCGCTGGGCGACTTCCTCCCAGCTCAGTGGCATGGGGAGCTTGCCTTGGATCTCCAAAACTGCGTCGCGGATGCGATCTCCATGCTCGATGGCATGTTGGACTGAGTATGCCTCGCACTGCAACGTAGTTCGACATATACGCCTAATATACGCTTCATAGTCGATGAAGAGAACGACATCAAACGCATCCCGGCGCATTCGGATCCGCTGCCGACTTTGCGGACGTCAAGTAGTGAAACCTACCGCGTTGGGATTTGTGACCTGCCTCTCCCGCGAACGAAGCGTCGCAGAAAGTCACAACGGCAAGTTCGCCGGAGTTCCACGGGAGTTTGGCACTGTACGTTATACCACGCTCGGCGTCGCCCAACGCAAGGGCGACCACTCTGTTTGCATCGTCACCCTCTGTTGTAAGGTGTTTACGCGATACGCGAGGTCAGGTCGCGTCCCGCGCGCAACCCAAGCGAGAGAGCCGATAACGGACCTCTGCGCTGTGCTCTGGCTTGCAGAAACTGGGGAAGTCCCCTTCTCCGATCTATGGATTTCGATCGGGCGTATTGCACGGGTGTTGTCCCTACAGTTTATGCGGATAGTCCCGTCAATCTCTAGAACGTATTCACGTCCACAAAATCTGAATTTAACAGATTCAATGTGGCCTATCTTGAACCTGTCCAACAAACGCTGAACCACTGGTTCGCCCTCGGGAGTTGCTGCCCACAAGAAATCATCTACGTGGGTGCAGATGGCCGCGCACAACTTGTTGTCGCCTCCTGTAATGAAATACAGCGCCGAAAGGATCTGTGATGCTCTCAAACCAAACTCTTTGCAACTCTCCTTTTATGCGGAGGTACAGGTTCCTTCCTGCATCTGTAGTGCCGTAAACAGGAACACGGGCAATCATGTACCCAGCACGCTGGATTTCCGGGTCAGGTACACCCTTCGGGTGTTTCGGAACGCGTAGAATGAGCAACCTTTCAAAGGATTTCCCTTGGAAATACGCATTGGTAATATCTGCGGCTTTGAGCCTCAGGCCAGGTGACACTGCCCAGGAGCAAATAAGTGCTATTCCCTCCGGCTCGGTCGGAGTCGGGCTATCGGCACGGATGTCTTCCTCATTTCCTATGTGCTCGAAATTCCCGCAAGCCACCAATCTGGCTTTCCACTTTGGCACGTATTCGGGGGTCCCGCATAGGTGCTCGTTTTTGTCCGTCAACACCCACTTTGTGGGGATGCACACGTGTCCCGCTTTCATGAGATCCTTGAACTGCTTTTCGGTGCAAGGGACAACGGCATTAATTCCGTAAACTTCTGCCATTCTGTATGCATGGCAGCATCAAGTCCCATCTGCACCTCTATGGATGCATTACGATAATCAATGAGCGACGCCAAGAGGGCAACATCGACGGCGCTGCCGAAGTGCTCTTCCCCGTCAGAGGTGAGAGTGAATGCCTCCGACTCCGCTCCACGATTAATTATCGTGGGATCAACTTGTGGCTGCGTGCTTCCTACGGCAACGGCAACGTTTGCTCATGCTCCAACCTGTTCATCTGTTTCTATGATAACATGATGATACGGATGGGTTTCAAGCGCACCGTTAGCGCGTATGTGCTCTACCAGCTTCTGGTGTTCCGACCAAATGTGTCGTGAAATGACTTGTCGATGGCACCTTCTCCAACTGGCCTCCGAACACAAGAGTGCGATACGGTGGTGGTTGTCGTTCGCCTCGCTAACTATCCTAGCGATTGCGGCTATCCCCTGATCGGTTTGAAGGTTTGCCTCTATCCCGCCATGGTTCCTGTTCCCAAGTTCAGGGGCGTGGCTGTAAACTATACCATGCTCAAAGCATGTGGCGGAAAGCTCATCACAAGTGTATTGTGGATGACGTGCGCAATAGGGATGGCTTCTGCAATCGACAGGGGCCGGGGAAGATGATCGAGATCGATGACCGGATCTTCGACATCGAGTTGGGTGCCGTCGCGATAAGCGACGAGATGGGCTTTGGTTGGAACCGTCGTATAAACTTCGGCGGTGACTTTCCTGACGGCGTCCTCACCGCCGTACGGGAGGTACTCAACGAGAAGCCGTCACCTGCACGCTGGCTGGGGCCACATGCCCCAAGGCGCTTTAAGGCGGGAGATCGCACACACCATAACTTGTGTGAAAGGCACGATATTAAGTGCACAGTAGTCACGCAACGGGGAAGCTCTTCCTGCATCGCGACCACAGCCATGGCAGCAGTTGTGGTCGTACGAAGGGCCGTGCCACCCCCGGCCGGCAAGTGGCGGAGCAGACATGCCGTGCCCAAGCCAGCCACCGGGCGAGGACAGAGCTTATGTGACTCTCTGGTTGTATCCTCTTGCCTTCTAAAGCGACACGATTCCTAATCAGCTGGAGGACACAGAGGAACACAGTGCGCTTTACCCGGGCACAGACCCGCGGCCGGGCACAGACCCGAGTGCAGACGCAGCGCCCCTGCCACGCCGGCCAGCCCAGACACAGTTCTGGAGGTTCCGGTCTCAGGCGTGGACGAAGAGGGCGATGCAGCGACGCAGCATTTGTGGTGTGCAGTGGGGATGGGGTAGGCGAAGCTCCCCAGATAGCACTCCCAGAACCTGCCATCCGTGACATACCTGCCCACAGCCGCAGCGTAGGGTCCTCTGCATCCACCTCCAGTCTCAGGAAACTTAGCAAGACCCAAGCCAAGCACATTGTATCCGGTATAACCGAGATGGTAGCCGGTGATGCTGTGTTGAAGGCTATCGTGTATGCGTGGGGATTTGATCTTGATGTTGCCGTTGTCGCTCACCCCACCGAGCTAATGAATAAGAATGTGGTTGCCCTCAGCAGACTCGATACGCTATCACCTTCACGTCCACGGTAAGACCCTTGTCCCTGGCAGGCAGATTCAGAGCTCGCTTGTTTTCACCTTTGTGATCGGCGATGAATCGTCTGTGCTCGGGATGGCTCTGTTCCTCGGAAAGGTCACAGAAGACGGTAAGCTATATTCAGCTTATGGTGTCGACCTCTAGAGCTTGTGCTCATTCTTGAGCCAAAGTTGCATCGGCGGCATTGATATGGAAAGTGTAGTACTGTGGTACGCGAAGCGTTCCCCAGGCATCCACTTGGAGTCGAGGTACGTGAAACGTGCCCCCGCTCGTCTATACAAGCAACAGCTCATAGCTCTTATCGTGACACCTCAGAATTGACTGGGTATCGCAGTCCGTTCGCACCCCCCATGAGTTGTGCCTCCGGCACTACTCACCCGGAAGATGGCGCGATTGGAAACACTAGGGATTGATCCGCCGCAACTTTGACATATTTGGAACAAGAGCCTTGCATCCCAATTAGAAGATGGCGTGACACTCATCTACGTCAGTGACGAACCCCGAAAATGACATACAGAATCAGCCGTCACCGAAGAAAATGCATTCGCGACAAAGATCACCATCATATTGCCGAGGTCACGTGCATAGTGAGTACAGCTCACGTGTTGCCCCTGACCCGTTGACGAATTTGCGAGGGATCATCACGTCCCCATGGGCGAAGGTTCTCCTCTGGATTCTTGGACTTCCCTTTCCCTTTTCCTTTGCCCTTGGAGTCATGGTAGCAATTGGTGTTCCATCCTCTCCAGCGTTGGTCACGATCACGGGCAGGAGCTTTGGGAGCTGCGAAACACTCACTTTCTTCAGCTGTAAGTGAAGTATCCATGATGGACGTTTGCCCACGAGGAAGGTACGGCATTGGGGTTCCTCTTCTTCTCAACCTTGGCTGCCGTGAGCTTGTCAGAGAACTTTGCAGGCATCTGGACATTGTGATCGACGAGCACTGCAATTGGAATGGTCTGCGAGGAAACTTCCTTTGATGCCTTGCATCAAGAGAACACCCACAGGATCGATGTACAGGAACTCCACAGGTCCAGTTGGCGTAGGTCGAATAAGAG